CTGCGGCGCGTTCCTGGACGAGAAGTTATGAGCGTTTATTGGAGAAAATAAGTGAATGTGCGAATGATATAAAAACAGTAGTAACATTTTTCCTAGCGTCTAAATGGAACAGTAATACTCTTTCCAGCACTCTATAAAATACTCTTAAAAGAAATATATCCGCACTCTGGCTGTCTCATTCAAGCGTTGAGAAGATTTTTGCAATGTTTTTATCCCGGAAAAACATTTTTTTGCTCTTTTTAACGCTCATAACTCCTCGTACGGGAAAGCTCCGCAGATAAGGATTTGAAATTAGCATTTTATGCCCTTCAACATGGTATTAAATCATCACAAAAGTCCACTTCGACTGACCATCCTGCCCTTCTGAGTCTAGACCGCGTCCCACCTCAACGTACAGGCATGTCGATGAACACGAACCTTTATCCACCGTGGTGTTGGTGAGAGTCAGTAGAGTCAGTACTTGGCCATACCGAAGAGACAGATAACACTGAATTATGTCAACAATCGACACTTGTGCAGGCTATCCCTCACAGATCCTCAAAGGCACCGTCCGCCCTAAGTTGAGGGTATTGAGCTTTTGGCAGCATATAATAGTAGGGCCCCCTATCAATCCAATGCCCAAGTTGCGGTGCAAAATGGCGCTTCGGAAGCGAGAAAACCGCTTCGAAATAGCGAAGATGCACGAGGGCCCCCATCCATGCCCGCCCATTTGTGCACGCCCATCCAATCACCGTTCTGGAAAGCCGGCGTGTGGATCCTCCGGAACGGAGATTGTCGGGGTGTTCGCGCATTCTCGACTTCAAATTCGAAATCAGGGACATGAGAGGGCCCTGAAACGACAAAAGTAGGGGCTCTTATCAATCCAATGCCCAAGTCGCGGCGCAAAACGCTTCTTTGGAAGCGAGAAAATCGCTTCGGAATAGCGAAGATGCACGAGGACCCCCATCCATGCCCGCCCATTTGTGCGCGCCCATCCAATCACCGTTCCGGAATGCCGGCCTTTGGGTTCTCCGAAACGGGAATTGTCGGAGTTTTCGCGCATTCTCGACTCCATATTCGGAATCAGGGTCATGAGAAGGCCTTAAAACGACAAAAACGTGGAAGTCGAAAATCTAGGTGGACGGTGCCTTTAAGGCATTCTAGCAATAGGTCCGCTAAAGGTGGTGTGATCTTGACGTAGCACGAAAGGTAGCTTCTGTCAAACTCACATTCCAAGGCTCGTCTCCAAAGGTGGATTCTGAAGCGAGAAAATTGCTTTGGACGAGTTTTCAATCTACAAAGAGGGGCGATACTCTAATCTTACCTCCAGTGGGTGGAATTCCGCCCATCTAGCGGTTTTCTACAGCTGCAGTAGAGCGCGTCTCGTTCTTGCTCTTCCAAGAGGACTCTTGAAAGAAAGTTTTTGCGATTTTTGGATAGCATGATTTTCGGATAGCTTGAGGAGCAGATCAGTCAGCGGCAGAGAACAGTAAAAAGTGTCCAAAGCCCAGAAGTGAGATTCTACATGGACCCTGCAAGTGAGGTAGGCAAGAGTTCGATTGTTATCGACACATGGATACTTATTTCCGCTTTCATGCTAGGATTTCGAGAAGAAATTCGAATTTCGAATTCACCTCTCTCAGTCGAGTGTCTCACATTGACACGAATAATTCTCGAAAACTAAAGCCTATAGAGAGCTGAGAGCTGAAAATTCAAGTCCGCACTTTTACTGATCCGTAGGATACAATTACTAGCCACCTTGTGGTCGCTATAAGTGAATCGAAGCATGGTGAAGGTTCGGTTTTCCTTGAATCTTGGCATTGTTGTAGACACTTTCCGGTAAGATTGCTGAGCTTGACCAAGATTGGTATGATAACTTCATAGGCTGACGTGGACGTTTGGCGATCTAAGCCTTCTTCGGAACCTGAAAGACGAAGTCATAAGTGTTTATCCACTCAGACGTCAAGTGCCAGGAACAAAACAAACCCGAGGAGATTAGCTAAAGACATTATCAGAGCTACAAGAACACATACTCACCCTTAGACGCAGCACAATAGGTAGCTGGAGAACAGACCACCTTATGCAAAATTGTGCCCCCAAACTTTATTTATACGCCTGAGTGACCTGACCTCAGTCAAACCCACAGTGGGCCTGATAAGCCGCGAGTTCGTTGGTGATAGCAAGACACTCTTCTTTTCTGTTCATTTTAGGATTTTTCGCAGCACTCCAAAAAGCTTCTAACGTTTTGCGTGCCAGGAGTTCGGGCTGAAACGATAAAATCTTCACTGCAGTCTGAACTTCAGCATTTTGATGACGGCTTATTCGATATTGCCCCAGTGGTGTGGAGGGCCTTGATTTATTTAGCTCTTCTAGATGTTTCTTGATGCGAACACAAAGAGGGCGCCCGATCTCTCCGATGTAGGTGTCTCCACATGATAAACATGTGATCCTGTTAATCACACCTGACACCATACAATCACCCTCTTTGCTATATGGGCATATTACGCAATCTGAAGTCAGACAATTACGGTCATAGGTACGGTTGCGAACCAGTCGGCGCTTCTAATCTGGGGGTGGTGACCACTCTAACGGCCTCTTGCAAACCCTCGTGTTGTACGCACCGCCGCACTGTCCTCTAAGCTCATCCGAAACAAAGAAGCAGAAAGGGATCTTATCCGCTATGGAAGCTGGATTGATCCTACTGCTCAGAGAGCCGCGCTGTCGGGTAGAGCAGCCATCGGAGTAGCTACTCGATTTGGTGATCTGGGAAGCCATGTCCAAAGATACGGCACGCCCCTGGCTCCCATATGAGACTCGAGCTGCTGTTTTGAACATATTTGTAATGATATAATTTTTGGTTTTGCGAGGGTGTGCAGACAAATAATGCACCAAGATGTCAAATGGAGGTTGGAGGCACAGTTTTGCATAAGGGGTCTTCTCCAGCTACCTATTGTGCTGCGTCTAAGGGTGAGTATGTGTTCTTTGGCTCTGATAATGTCTTTAACTAATCTTCTCGGGTTTGTTTTGTTTCTGGCACTTGACGTGTAAATGTATAGACACTTATGGCTTCGTCTTTCCACGCTCCGAAGAAGGCGTAGATCGTCGAAACGTCGACGTCATCCAATAAAGTTATCATGAAGCATATTCTTCGCTTTTCATGCTTTTTCGCAATACTAGCACCAGCTCCCCAAGGATATTTGTATCGCTCTATAAAGCATTTGTTCTCCCTCACCGAGAATACTGTTTTCAGATCTGGTCTCCCTTCCGCAAAAAAGATATGCGTAAAGTAGAAAAGGTTCAACAGCTTTTTACGAGGCTGTTGTATAGACGATTATCACCCAGAATGACCCCTTCTGAATACCAAGCCCGCCTTAAGAAGCTTCATATGGAGTCTTTAACATATCGGCAGATATTTTCGGATCTTGTATTCTGCTTTCCAGTTCTGATGAAAGAAAACAAAGTAAAAGTTAGCAAGTAATAAGTTTTTGTTCTTACCAGTGAAAGGTCTGGTTCTTTAACCTGCAATATCCAAGGATCCGACGCAGAAAATACCTACTGATGTTCAATAACGTATTTTGTAGGGGAGCTAAGTGGCTTTCGCGTCTCCCTGTTGATACCACTAGTGCAGTTAATAGCCATATTTTCAGGAGTAGACTAAGAAGACTTGACTTGTCAAGTATCGCTGCAATTGATTAGCGTTGCCTGACAGTCAAAGCCATTTTCTAGCTTGTATTTATTTGCTTGAAATGTGCTATACGGCTGGGTTGCGTATGGATCTTCGATATAGGCTTTGTTTTCTATCACATTTTCTTCCAAGTTCATCTTTGAAGACCGCCATTTCAGGTGCTCTTTGGCCTTGTTATGGTTTGCTTTTCAGTTATGGCTATAAATTATGGCTTTGACGTCTCTCGTGTATCTCCCCACGTTGCGTCATACTTGTAATTTCGGTGTAGTGTACTCGTTTTCTTCTAGTTACTAACCGTCTCTCATCAGCATCTTGATCCGAGTCTTTTTCGCTCAGCTATTTAGTATTAAATCGTACAGCTTGCTGATTCAAGCAGATGGAGTGAATGTGAATCTTTTTACCTTTGGGGTCATTGGGCCTCCCCAGCATTCCGGCTAGGCGGGGTTATGGTTATTATACTTGGACCAGTAGACTCGCCTTATAAGCTGTCGGTTTGCTTTTGAGAGTAAGTAAAGATCGTTCTGCTGGCAACGAGGGGGCATGGGTCCCATCTCCTTGGAGTTATAAGTTGTGGAGTTATGAGTGTCAATGCCTATCAATGCCTACATTTGTATACATAGATATCCATTAGCCTATCAATATATTCAATGCAAGCTTTAGACTCGGATTAACATGGTGATGTCTGCATTCGTTTACGTTTCTTGTTCATTCCGCTGTATTACTAACTTCTCGATGTGTTTTTTTTTGTTACGGAATGCCTTGCGTGTACAAATGAAGATGAAAATGAAATTACCAATCTTGGTCAAGCTCAGCAATTTTACCGGAAAGTGGATCGAAGTAGATGCTGAAAAAGTTTCTGCATCTCAATGAATCTTCTTAACTGTGAAAACAGCACAGCATCACTTTGGCGATTACATGAAAAATCTCGTTTTTTGGCATCTATTCAAGGAAAAAAATACAGCAAAAGCATATATAAATGTCTGATGTGGATAGCTGTCTGTGAGCAAAATAGGAATTTTCTAGGATTTTTTTTCTGGACGGAGTTACGATTTTTCTCTATCAGGCGGTTGGATCCTCTTCATTTCTGGTTTCAAACTTGAGACGGAACTGGTGCGAAAGCAAGAAAGCCGTCTCGTGGGGCTTGCTTTGCTCTATCAAACGGTACCTATTCAGAAGTAAATAGTGTATGACTTACTGCGATCAAACGTCAAAACGGACGGAACTTATGGGAAAACGATATCTGTTAGCCGCAGTCACGCAGACCTGGCTTTTATGGCCATGAATTTTATGAACTATCAATTCAGATAATATTAGCATAGTAATATAGTTAACAACTCTGAGCAATATTTTATTTTTGTAAAAGACCATATCGTGGGCAAAAGACAGCGAATGAAATGTGCTCGAAGCCAACACAACACCTGAGTGCATAAAATAATTAAATAAAAACAGCGAAGACACCACGTTGAACAATTGTAAACCTTAACAATAGGGGCAAGCTAAAAGAATCTCAGATTCGTACCTCGGCAAGTCAACAACACCACAAGGGCAAGACTAATAATACTGTTCATCATGAAGAGTAAGAATATGACAAACACTTTACAATTTCACACGTATCACATACGAATGTCAAAAATACTACGACTAATACATTGGGATCATGTATTATTGCTCATCACACAGTTGAGAAGCACACAAAAGGAAGTAGAAAATTGTTACTGAAATCAAAAAAGCTAAATCCATTCAAGCGCTAAAATCTAGAACTGAATAAAGACAGTAAAAGTCTACAGTCTACGATAGTAAGCAGATAGAAAAAAATGCGCCATCTTTGGGGCGAAAAAAGATTTCATTCAGCCTTGACAGAAGCATGGCCGAAACCCGTCGTTAGCTGGATGGCCTAAAAAATTGGATTCATTGACAGTCCAGTTTTCAAATGCAACTTCACTTCAGCGGTTGTCAAACAGATCTAATGAGTCAGATCAGTTTCAAATGCGAACTTCAGCAGCCTAAAGTGGGTATATATGATTTGAATCAATTGAATGGAGTTACAAACGGTATGAGGGAGAAAGGCTAAGAACTAGTGAGCGCTTAAATTAGTACCTTTTTAACAGCATCATACACTTTGCTGGTTTCATACGGGCCGACACCGTAGAAATGGAACTCTTCTGGCTTGGCGTACTTGCGCTTGATGCGAGAACGTAACGACATGGAAGGATTCGTCGCAAAATCGTACATCATAAGAATCCAGCTGCCATGCGATTTCAGATCATTATAATACTCCGGTGCGATATAACGGATCTGCAACGAACCTGATTAAAATCTTGATATACAGCCTTTACATATGAGGATGACAACTTCTAAAACGATGAGATTGAGTCAAACATGATTATTCCGAGTAGGAATCCCCAAACAAGGTAAACCTTGTTTTGCATAGAAATGAACTTTTCTGTTATGGCTTTTGCAGGCAGCAAGACAAAAGTAGCAAACCGGTTCCAAGGGCGCCTAGATTCAGTTCAAGCTCAAAATGGTGTCCGCGTGTGAATCACGACATGAACCTTACGGACGTCATGTGTTGACAATTTCTGCAGAAAGATGTCTCTCCCAACACAGCACCAAAGTAGTGAAAAACGGGCGTGGGCGCCAAACGACAGCAGACAAAATTGCATACACCCTTTGATTAGAAACATCGCCTTGTATGCTGATTTTTCCTACAACCGACGACACTCTTCCTTGAACCAATTATGCACACAAAAATTCATACTGCCTGAGGACATGATATATACAAGTTAACTCAACCTCATGTTATCACGGCATTAGGCATCAAATAAAAGTAATAGAATTAGCGCAATTGATTCACTCACCTTGGGCAGATTCGCACCGGAAACAAATGGGAAGTCATGATGTTCCACATGATAACCAACATTGAATGTCACTAGATTAATCGGTCCATAGTAACTGCAGAGGATTCTTTCTTTGGCTGTCCGTACAACAAAACTAAACCCACCTGTAAGTTTCCTGGCCAGGTTTGAATACGTAATGCTCTGAGACGTAATGACCAGCAAGAGGATGCAAACCCATGCCAACAACAAAGCCGCCGAACAGAAATGCAAAAGATTTCACGCCAAAATACGAATAGATGAAGTAGTCAAATGCTAGTTGCAGGATGACGTTAGCGAGTTCCAAGTCAGTAAAAGACTGAAGATAGAGTGATTAAAAGAGATGCGTTGTGCGCAGCCATAATCTTGTGAACAGCGATAAAAAATGACAATCATCACCTTTGGATAGATAATCAGGGGGCGAATTCCATAGAAAAGCGGCTGTAAAATCATCCACACCACTTTGCCGAATGTTGTACAGAATGTTCGCGCTTCCCATTCTGTTGGCACATCCGTGTCAATCTTATCTTCTCCTATATAAAAGATATTTTCCATACATCCCTCAAAGAAATCTCAGTTCACAGCACACAGCTTAGATGCTCTATTCACCGCTAATAATAAAAACGTTTCGTTGCTAGGAAACCCATAATAAATGAAGCTACTTTCCCACTAGCATAATGTAGCATTCAATATCCCTACCTAGGTTCCTATGGTGCTCAATGTGATATTTCTTGAAAGACACGGACATTGGAAAACACATGGGAAGATTGGCAATAAAGCCAAAGAGACGATTCTGGAATAAAAGCATACACTCAACAACCTCAATGATAAGAAAAAACTTACAGCAAGTGGTCGTGCCGTGCCATATGCTTGATTATGGCTGATTTCATGTACTGCCAGAGTCAGCGAGTGGTTGAATGTGCCAGATACAAAATACGCTTGAAGGATAATCAGAGCCCAATCCGAATCTAAACCCGATAGCTTTGTCATATTGAAAATTTACAAGCAATGAACCAGATAAAAAGGAATGTAATGGCCAGGAAAAAAGCGAAGTAGCGAATGAACTGCACCTCACGCAGCTTACTAATCATTATCACATCTCAAGCACAATATATAAACTATATTGAGTATGAAACGATGTAGATGACTTTTTATATGAATATGCTGCAATGTACTACGTACTGTTTCGCTCTTAGATAAAGCTCGAATACACAAGCTTAATGAAGCAGAAGTCTGAATGAAACACGAGATCAGAGCATAATGAAGGAACAACAAATAAAGAAACGAAAGAAACCTTTCAATCTTTCAACAAATACCATTTGCCAGCCAATTTGCGCCTGTGCACAACCGATTGACTTAGCGGAGATGTGAACGGTCAGTCACAAAACTTCTATTTGCATTGTCGATGACAGCATTTTGTAAACAAATCTTTGTCTGCCTGCAAGACACGCGACGCACTCGCGCGTCAAACACTTTTTCACTACCTTTGAAGTGTGCCCTTCACGTTTTCCTACTTACATACAAAAAAACTAACACTCCAAACGGTACACACTGCTTGTACCGATTTATATTACGGCTACCGCCTTTTACCAAAGGCGTGCTTCCTAAGACATCTTATTAGCAAATCTGTAAAGCGAAATTTCTAAAGTAGTCCAATTTGTGTGACTCGTTTCTACTGGTAAGTAATCAAAATACCTTCGTTGTATTTTTTGAAACATATAGATAAGCAAAAAATATGTTCCTCTAAAATAAAGGCTATAAGAAAAAAAAATTGAACATTCCGAACAATTTTAGAAGAGCTGACTACCGCCCCCTTCATTCAGAAAATTTCTGTAGCGCTCCCAAAAAAAGTTCTCAGGCAGGCAGTGGTTTTTTGCTATGATACGGTAACCTATAATACCCATTGTGTTGAGGAACATTAAATTAGGTTACCTAGGCAACGCAAGTTCTGAGATATTTGCAGCATGTGATAAGAGTGACATTTTTTGGTAATTTCGTAATATTCAACTTTTTTTCAAAAGTTAGAGCTTACATGACATGTATAAACCATCGAGATACATAGTAAAGCTGCATCTTATCTTAGTGATAAGGTGAATTCTATCTACTCCTTGAGCGTCGACACCACTAACATTCACTTAGTGCGTGAAAAAAAAAACAGTACAAAGCTTAGGTAGGTGCCAGAGTAAGCGAATATTTTGTTCAAGTTGGGGTCCCGCGCAGAACTGGCATCACTAATCATTGTGGCATAATGCCAACTTGGCGTTGTGCCACAATGATTAGTAACGCCAGTTCTGCCCGGGACCCCAACTTGAACAAAATATTCGCTTACTCTGGCACCTACCTTAGATAAGTTAAGGTGGCATTGCGGACTCCAATCCAAACAACAATAAATCAAAACCGTAGATAAGAAAGAAGTTTGAAGCCGGAATAAAAATGATTGAAAGAATAAATGATAGTCAGTGCTCAACAAACCTCTTAACAGCCAGGCAAATACTATCTGCGCGATCACCATGAATATGACGACAACTTTGAAAGCAGGGTCTTGCCCGAACAATTGTTTAATTTCCGGATATTTCTCTAGCATTTCCCTTCTCCTAAACAAAGTACATTCTACCACGGTAATGTTTACGTTACGGTGGCGTTACGACCTCTAGGCAAATGTCTGCACTTAGGATAGGTGCATTCCTAGGATGTTTTAGCGCATCTGTTCTTTGATTACAATTATACATGTTGACGTTTTGCAGAACTAGTTTCCTCAAACTTGCACAGATGGTTCAGCCTATTCGAGGACTGACAAAAGAAGCTCCGAACAAACATTGTTGCTATATTCATCTCTGTCCCGCAGGCTTAATTAAACTCTGACAATGATCTCGACTTCGGAAAATCTGCCTTCACTTCATCCTCCCCAACAGTCATTATTAAGAGCAAAGATATACCTGCTTGCATGTGGTTCTTCATCATATGACCACACAAAATCAGCCTTGGTCACGGTTTGACCCATGTTTTCTGAAAAAAGAAATTTTGAATGGAAGAAGCACAGAAATTCAGTACGATCTCGGAGAGAAACTTTCATATGGTAAACCGTGCAAAGAGAACGCGAAGTGCACGACGGAGCACAGCAGTAAGTAATTTGAAATCCAATTGATATTGCACGCAAATGCTTCCGTCACGGACTTCGTGCAAATGAGTAAAATAGCATAGTCACGTTCATTACTGCATAAGTTGCAAAAATGCTCGTTTCAAAAAGATGTGAAGTTTCATTGCAAACATGAATGCATGTGGCATTTGACGGATCGGAAAACCCTTTGATGCAACTCAGCCAAAACTAAATATAAACGCTTAGAGAAGAAATCTTTATTGAAAGAATAACATAAGTCGTCGAAATCTACATACAATTTTCATCGAGATGATATTAGAAAGACTGAAGGTAATGTTCAAGCAATTTTGATATATGGGTTGAAATCCAACTGAGTATCTCAACAAAGTCTAATTGCAGGCAGCCGTTATCATAACTTCTTCGTAGGTGAAAAACTGAACTCTTGGCTCTCGTCCAAGCCTTCCTGCACACTACCCGAGGCATGTTGCTCCGCCCGAAGAGCGCGCTCTGGACGGTTTGGGCGAGAGTTTTGATTAGAATTTCTCTGTCACGAGATTACACGAGTTTTTGAGCAACGACTTGGTTAAGGTCTACAAGACCATATCAGCATAGTAAGTCCAGATAGATGATTAGATCAGTAGATCTACCTGGTACTGCCTCTAAAGTGAAGGAGCGAAGGAAAGAAGTGATTGCACATCAAGGAAGTGACAGAAAGTAACGTCGAAGGAAAAAATACACAAAAAAACTGGTTCGACCACCCACCCTATCGACCTTGCCAGACTTTCGACAAGGCGCTTTAGTGTTATCTTTGAAAATCACGCAGAATGGTGCCCAACCATGGCAAGCAAATGTATTTGGAACGTCTGATGAGTTTTGTAAGCCACATGCTTCGCGATTTTATTGTTTCCATGATATAAAAAATTTGTAACTGATAGAACTGTATAAGCAGCAGAGAGAGCAGTAGAAAGTGAATGAGCACTTACAGGAAACAAAAAAGTTTTTGGTAGCTGCAGTTACAATTTCATTCAATCCCATGTAAGTTTTTATACTGATAGGCAATTTCCATATTACTGTAAAAAAACCTGCAATCAGATACTAACATTATAAGAAAGAAAACTTGTTCACTAAGAAATTGATAGAAGAAATATCACAGACAAACGAAAACTTTGTTGAAAACGTAATAGAATTGCACACCTCTGCAAAATGTGTTGTGCTTGATAATTCTGAGAGACAATCTCACTCGATACGGTATTAGGCGGATTTAATGAATTATCTGCGACTACACAATCATTTAAAAACGTGTTATTCTTGCAGAAAAGTGCGAAAGAGTCCCTTGGACTGTCTCTATGAAATGCGAATAAAGAGCTGCTATTACAGCAATATGTCATTACACTGCTAAAAAAGCGAAGCTTGCTAGCGGCAGCATTTACTGAGATACGATCAGTGAACTAATGAGTGATTACAGCGCTCGATAACGCACTATCAGAGCGAATATTCCATAGATGCGATTATTACCGTCTGGGACTTGAGTGGCGATTCCTAAATATTAGGTTGATGAAAAGTTCTGAAGCATCATTTTTGAGAAATCATAATTTCTTGCCCTCTCAACAGATTTGCAAAGACTTCATTTTGCTAGATAAAGGATACCTTTCTCTTTGGGATGGCCTTTGCTGCTCTCTCATATGGGGTAGCTTTTCTGATGCAAGAGGAAAATAAAATTTCTTCGACTACGGTCATTTCAAGTTAGGCCTCGGACAGAGTTCACGCAATTTCATAGCCTCGCGTTTCAAACAAGACAACAGTTACGAGTCCATTGCATACCGATCATCTCGCATTTCCGTTGTGATAGTCAGTCAGATTAGCGTATCGGAAAACTATCACAACCGAAATGCATGAGAACGGCATGCAATGGACTCTTATAACTGTTATCTTGCTCGAGAAATGCGAGGCGATGAAATCGCGTGGACTCTGCCTGAGGTCTTAGGCTGCTAGAATCTGAGATTTGCGATATTCCGCGCAAGCAGTATAGTAATTTCAATAGCGATCCACACTTTCTTACAGTGCAGAGTTTGTGTCGAATGAGCATCTCTGTGAAGAGTCATGATTTCCAAAGAAAAAACGCCAGAAATCAAATCTGTTGTTTTGTATTGCTTGCCTAAAAATCATAACTCTTCAAAGAGATGCTCTTTCAACAGAAACTCCTCTGCACTGTTGGAAATTGTGGATCAAAAGGCTATTATCTGCTTGCTGGGAATTTCATCGCGAGTTTCAGATTTTTAACAGCAGCCTAACTAAAAATGACCAAAGTAGAAGTAATTTTTCTCCTGCTTCCGAAGAGCTACTTCTTTTTGAAAAGCAGCAAAGGCACCATCACCAAAAGGGTTCCACTATCCAGCAAAATTAAGTCCGTGCAAATCCCTTGAGAGAGCAAGAAGTTAAGATTTTTCAAAAATGATGCGACAGAACTTTTGCATCAACCTAAATACCACGATAAGTGTTGTTTGTGCTAAGTTTTCTTAGCAGTAAACAAGCTAAAAGACAAACATACTCAAGGTAGTGTCGGTTGACTGCTGTGTGTACTGAGCAAACAATGGCAAAGTTTACAACGGTTGACCGCGGCTACTCGTTTTTGTCTCGGATTAGAATGCGTTAATGTGATGACGTCTGTTCGCATGGAGTGAGAAGATCATGCAATTGAGCATATGCTTATATTTTCATCATAAGAATTCAGGCGAAGCGAAAGATAAACTTTTCAGCACAGTCATTAGCAGGGTTGAGCGTGGGGTCAGGCGCGCCCGACCTGGGGGGTCGTACTGCGGTAAGACAGAGGGGGGGGGTCGTGATTAGGAATCGAATTCGTTCGATTGAGGAGATACTACGATTAAGATGAAGAAGAAAAGCGCTAGTTTAGTGGATATCGCGACCTCACCAGTACTGAAGGAGTGAACGGTCTTAAACAGCATACTGATTGATTCCACAATCGAAATTTCGGCCAAAACTCAAATCTTCATCTTCTACCTTGACATATTATAAATTCATCAAGGAAGCTTGCTGTGTGAAATGGGTGTCATTTCCGAGCACGTCAAATTACCTCTATGAGCCCTACAAAACATTATTTACTGCTTTATCTAGTGTTTCTTAACGACTAAAAAGCGCGATTTTCAAACATGATTAACTTGTTTTCAAAAGTGAAAAAAGTCAATTTTTTTGTACTCGTAACAAAGTATTGTTCCCTACTAGTCTAGGCTAAAAATCGCGCTTTGTATCGCTTGCAAATAGTGGAGTAAGAAATAATGCCAAAATTCCGACCGGCGCGTTTTTCTCCATGACTGCTTCAACTCCACGGATTACCACAAGGCCGAAACAAGTCGAATCAAGTCCAAACACTTACTGTGGAATCTTCGAGGGTTGTGCTAGCGATTCACATAAAACCTGAATAAAAAAGCTTCTTCAATGATAAACTTTAATCGGGTCAGGCGCAACCCCATAAAAGGTCAGGCCGCCTGAGCTTTTGAGGGGTTGCGCCTGACCCGATTAACTTGTTTTCAAAATCCAAAAATCGCTCCATTTCTGCTATGAGTATTGAACTCAAAGCCTCTTCTTGCAATACTGCAAATTTGGAGCCAAACGATACACCCCTGTGGGAATTATAGCTCTAAAAGTAGGGCTATCCAAAATCCAAAACTTGCCGTCAAGTTGCGTGTGCTGTGCAATCGCAGAAAGTCGACCTACAGACCTCCAAAAAACAAGAACCTCCCAAAAAACGGCTGATCTCCTCGAATTATCACAGCCTGAGGTCCTGGAGGTGAAGCAGAGGGGTCGTTTAGGGGCTTTCACTGGGGGGGGGTCGTTTTGGAAAGACTTGTGCCTGACCTCTTGCTCAACCCTGGTCATTAGTGAATGCGGCTTTTGTGTGCTGCGAAAATCGTAGAACCCATGTGGCGCCTATGTTTGACAAGTCTCAACACGTGCTTTAAAGGCAGTGTCCGGGCATGAACTCGATTTTGAGATTTTGTGCTTACCCGGGCCTATTCGCTATGCTGAATCCGAAAATCCACATTGGAGAGCGCGAAAACGGCAAAAAAGGGCTCTAACACTGAAGGGAAATCAGCAAGTGGGCGGGGTCTTCCCCACTGTGAATTCACGCTTTCAGCTTCCAGAGCAATTTTCTCGAATCCGTTAGCCGCCCTGACATCACTACCGATCAAGTGCAAACGAATGACTTGAAACTGGAATCAAAAAGATCGCCCCCGAAGCTGGGAGCGTAAATTCACAGTGGGGAAGACCCCGCCCACTTGCTGATTTCCCTCCAGTGTTGGTGCCCTTTTTGGTCGTTTTCGCGCTCTCCAATGTGGGTTTTTGGATTCAGCATAGCAAATAGGCCCGGGCAAGCACGAAATCTCAAAATCGAGTTTTTGCCCGGACACTGCCTTTAACAAATTTACATGTTATTACACACATAAGTGGGCAAAAAAAAATAAGATTTTGAGCATTCCCACGTACAGTCAGTGTCAATTACGTACTCCCTTTTGCATAGGATTTACGCATGCGCAACGCGGGAGCTTTGCGTGCGCCTCCAATCGATGAGGCCAATTTGAATGCGCGAAATGCGCGTGCGAACATGGCGGGAGGCTTTAGCGTAGCGATTGCGCTTACGGAGAAGGGAGCACGTGATTGACATCGAGTGTAGCGCTTTCGATTGGCTTAGACCATAAAATAGCCATGGTACTATGAAATTCGCATAGTCTCCCTATATACTATAGTAACTAACAAAAAAGAAAAATGTGGTCAAAAACCCATTTATGAAGTTCATGTAGAAGCAGACTAGGTGAATTATAGAAGTTGTGCAAAGGATTTAGTCTCTCTTACAAATAATGAAATAGTTTTCGAATATTTTGAAAATTCAAGTCATCTTCGTAAAAAATTTTTAGGGCGTTCTAAAGCGCACTAAAAATTCCTTTGCTCTTTCAGCAAAAAAATCGGATCGCTTCTAGTATGTACATACGTACATAGTCATTCTAAAATTTGTAGGCTTGGTGAATGCTTTGCATAAGTTACACAAATTTCTTTCTTTTATCTGAAATTTTGAGAGTGCGGAATGAAGTGATGTATGGGTAAACAAGTCATCTATCGTTCATTCTTTGACCAAGAGACACGAGCACGCTTTGCGTACGTTTGATTAACCAGTTTATGAGCGCGTTTTGATAAACTATTAGGAATTCGTGAAGAACACGTTCGAACTTGCTTTGTTCAACAAGCCCGATCTTGTTCTTTCAAAAAGCTGATGATGAATCAATTAAAATGCGTTATTACTCACTCACGAACTTGTTAATCAAACGTATGCGAAGCGTGCCCGTGTTTCATATTCAGAGAATGAATAGTAAGCACCGTGAAACAGTTCGCTTGCGGAAGCGGAAGCCGACAGCAAAAGGAAATAAAGATGCGCTCAATCGAGGACACGCCGACAGCGTCCGCAGTCGCGACCTCTCGCTGCATGTAATGCGCGCATACTATATTAACCTGTTAACACATATGTGCACAGCATTTGCGAGTCCGCCCTCAGAATAAATGAAAAGACACTGGATCAAGAGTGAATTTTCAAAATGGAGGTGCTAAGGAGCTTTACAGCTGTGTGGGAGCTTCTATAATTACTGCCATTTGGACGATAGCTGGCAACTCCTGAACAGAATTAAATTGCTGATGACGAAAGAGGATTCCCAGTATGGTGAGTCAACTTTTTACAACAGTGTACTACGAACACCGTTGCTTGCATAAGCTACAGCGAGCAATAATTGTACTACACTAGACGACTTGAATCTATCATTTAATCACAGTTTAGGATATTTCACAAATTCAAAGTGATTACCTATTTATTTTACCTGATGCTTTGCTGAGAGAAGGAAAGTTCGAAGTCATTAGAAATGAAGAGCGTAGCGTCTCTGAGTCTTTAACTATTTATGGAAGAACACTGAGAAGTGAACTTTTGGAAATTCAGCTGACCCGCACCTTGCAAAAATGAGGAGCTCAAAAATTAAGAATGTCGTGCAGATGATACTCAAACAATAATCTTGACATACATAGAAAAATGAAACCATCATAGGGTAAGCGTGTGAGTGAATAGAGCAGGGATAATAGCAAATGGCGTATATAGGGTAAAACGATGAGGCGGAGAATGGAGAGCGGAGCGGAGGAGGAGTGAGAGATAACGTAGTAATTTAAGATTGACTATATCAATTAGTGGCATATGTGATCCAATTCGACCGTGAAAAATTAGTAGACACCGTATTCTGCATATTAGGCTGCGTTCATACTGATCCCAAAGTCCAAGAACAGTTCCAGCACAGCGCTCAGTTCGAGCACTTTGCTGGAACTGTTCCCGGACTTCGAGATCGGTATGAATGCAGCCTTAGCACATCAAGGTGTTTTGCAGACCTTTGTTTTTGAGAGACGGTGATAACTGCAACTCGTTTAGACTCCAAACAGTGGATGCAAAAACTACGCTCCAATCAAAAACTAATTGACCCGTGCTCTTCGACTACTTCGACTAATTCTGCACATTTACCAATTATCGCCAACAACCAAACATAAGTCCCCCTTATGAGACATCCAGTACGAAGTCATCTAAGGCCTATGAAAAAAGAAATTTGAAAAATATGCTACTTGAGCATCAATTATTTCTGACTCGTATGTTGAAGCTGTAGAATTGTTGCCATCACCAAAATACAAATTCGAATAGAGTTTTAAAAAAGTGGAGCCGATATGTAACACAATTTTTCAACGAGACGTTCAGAAAATCGAAAGCTTGAAAAATCCATGGTATTCTATCACGAAACATAAAAAACAGATCCTTGCAAACGCTTGCAACGCTTTGAAGTCTGACAGCAAAAATGAACGAACTTACACGCAAATGTCATTTCTAATGAATTTATTACTCTGTGCATCAATGATCCAACTACTTACTCGTAAAAAAAACTGTTTATGTGTAGCATTTGAACATAACAACAGCATACATACCAAAAATTCTCGATGAATCAATAAGATTACATAATTGCATAGTCTGCCTAATGTACATCTACTACTATAGCTCCTAAAGTCAAACACCAGCCAGTAGGGGTTCATCGATTTCCTCTGTCTTCTTCTCCTCCTTTTTCTTCGCAGCTTTTTTGTTACGGCGCTTCTCCAGCTAAAACAGATGCACCTACAAAAAGCAGATATAGTGACTAAGATGTACCTTTTCGAGTTCTTCTTCTGATGGAACAGGTAACCAAGCGTCAATATTCAGAGCATAGTGTTCTTCGCCGGGTATGGTCATGAGGAGTGCTCTGAAGCCAGTTACTCTCTATTAAATTTGAGTTTTTTTTTTCGTAAATGTGAATTGACAATGCAGTATAAAAGACATGACGTAAGGTAGAAAATTTTCAGAATCATGAATGAAACGAAAATTTTAGGTTGCAAAGAAAGTTCCCGGGCAGTTGCAAAAATTTTTTTCAAATCGCTGTAACTTCAAGCAGATTGATTCTTTTCTGAAGCTACAAACTTCATTGCAAAGACAATTTTGTTCGACATATATTTGTCTTGCTAGCTTCACAGCACATTACTGCGGTCCACCAGCATGCGCAGAAGGGAAAAAGGTCGTCGCGAAAAGTGGCCTACTTGTGCAGGATTCAGGCATGATGAGAGCTGGAGAGCCCAGATGCTGTAGTTATAGAGGTCTGCTGGGGCTGTTATGAGGACAATTCATGTTTTTGAAGGACCACCTGCAAAAAATTTTTTCCCAGAAAGTTTGAAAAATCGACCATTTTTTGCCCCTAAAAATGCAACATTTTTCGAGTAAGTGACTTTGAAGTCTTCTAGTTCTGCGCAGAAAGGACCAAATCCTTAATTACTGGGAACATTGTTGGGATAATGCCTTGCACACTTTTGGACCTATCAACCAGGCGTGGCGATGATCCCCGCAGAAGCGACGCCAGCTGCGAAAGAGTTACAGTCAGAGGCAAATTTGACAGCTTGTGATTTTTTGAGCGCAAATCGCAAAACTCGAGTGCAGCTGCGGGTCAGAAGTTAACAGACTTCTCAATCAAATCACCCATGATTTGAACGAAATTCTTTGAACTGCACAGAAAAATGGGCGCAGGAAGAAAAATTGCGGAATTTTTATGGTTGGAAAGACTTCCTTTTTTGATGTGCAGATCAAACACATCTTGGCATCGATATAATCCGGAAGGCTTGCTGAAAACTTCAGGCTTCCCTCTACTGAACAGTGTAAAAAACTTTGTGTTAAAGTCCGACCGAACGCCGAAAAAATGCGTTTAAAAATGAAATTTCCAAAAGTGCCCGGGATTTCTTTACAATCTAATAGAACAGAAATGGCCTGAACGACTGTCTCGCAGGGGCCTAAAATGAGCACACTGTCTGGCGACAGTACTGCGAACAAGACCACCAATCAGACAGTTACGATATAGCGTCAAGCTCTATCACTATTCAAAGAGCACCAACGAAAACCTTGAGACTAACCTATTTATGAAAGGTCCTAGAGCGGGATTCCTATGTGTACATGCAGCCTTTATGACAGCAGCAATATTTGCTTCGACCTCACTATCTGCCATATCGAGCTGAAAATTGAAGCTCTGACCTGATATACAAGTACTACCACAAAATCATTGCAGACAAGCTAATAAGTGTCTTAGATTTTTTTCCCACCAAAAGCCTCAGCGCAGGTAACATGCCCCCTTTTCACTTCTTCTAACCAGTGCACATTAGTAAACTTCGAAAATCGTAACTATACGTACTCTGCCAACAACAGCGTCGCACAAACCCCAGATGGGATAAACAGGATCGCCCTTGATAGAAAGCTTGACACCGCTCTTGAACTTATGCACAAGGTCCGGTAAGTCTTCTCCAAGACCACCTGCAAAAAACTATTCCAGTCAATAAAGATGGAAGGAAAATGCCAATTAGGCGAAGACGCTGACCATTAGATCTAGTAGGGAACTTGGTCCTCAGTATCCCCCTCAGAGGTAGAATGTAGGAAGCCATGTCGGTATGAGCAACGCAGAAATCATAATCATCAGTTCGGAATTGGCCTTTGATGATCTTGAAGAAGATCAAATAAAAAACAATTATAAGCAACAAGAAATTGACTACCTTTTTAACTACATCCTGACCAAGAGCTATTTCAGCTCCGGACTCAACGGCGACTTCTTGAAGTTTTGGATCGTTGACAAAAGCCAATATGGTACGTTTTTCATTGTGTTTGAAAGGAAAAGGCACTGGCACGATTTCGTCTGAGTTTGTTACCATCTTGGTCTAAAACAGAGCGAACTGGAGTCAAGTTCTGGAAGAGATCGAAATGGTAAAATGGTGAAATAAAAGAAAAGAAGCTAAGTTTTCTCGTCAAAGCTAGTTACCTGTCTTTCTGTCTGCATATTCAACTCCAATCGCAGTCTTAATGGCGCATTGGGATGATTATATATAGCCGGCTGTTGCAGTTCACGATGTCCAGCAAGGGCTTCAGCGACAGAATAGAACTGAGTCTTGACCTTACTCCTAGAATTTGTATTCATTAAATTGCTTAGTGGAGATCTTTCTTGCCTTACCTAATGAATATGTTAGTCAATGGTTTGTCTGGTAAAGCAGCTTCATCATCTCGATTCAGTCGACCAGGAAACTGCTGTGATGGTGATAGTCTGCAAAGCAAGTTTTGGTTTTCAATAAAAAATATTGAACGAAGTAAATGGGAGAATCACAAATAAGATAAACTTGTTGAGAAGGGTATATAAAATTGTATGTAGATTCTGCAAACTAATAGAACTCACAAGTTCTTCATCCTCCGAATATTTATTCTTTCCATGAATGTGTATTGCTTCCTTGCCGCTTCTCTTTCTTCCCTTTTCAAACGCCGCTCCAGCTTCTGCTGACGAGTAATCGTTTGCTTCAATGCGCGCTTCCTGCCTGAAACAAGATACATACGGCTTTCAACTTTGCACTACACATTTTCTCCAATATACCTCTATGTTGCGCAAATTCGCCGACCACTGGTCGGAGCAGGTCGTTGGAGATTATGCAGCTACATGAAGATGCAGCTGTACTCCGTAACAAGGAGAACATCTACAAAGTTTTTCAAATCAAAAAAAAAATGATGAGAGTATAAATTGAAACTCCTACAACTCAAAAAGGTATGGATCGAATTGTATGCCTAGATAGGTAACGGTCCAAAAGCTATAGAGAAATCATACGCAGAGACGGAATGCTACTGCGGACGCTGTTGGCGTTTCTTGGATAAAGCACATTCTCATCCTTTTTGTTGTCTGCCGTCTGTTTAGATACGCACTGTCTTTCCTGGACGCAGCGGCGTCCGGTTTCTGCGTGCGATGACTCGCCTATGAAATCACAAATTTGCGGGACAGAAAACAAAGCGATTGCAGTTGGCAATAAAACACTTATATCCCTTAAAGGTATTACATCTCTCCTGCACGAGTACGCGCTAAGTACCTTACGATACACCTACCATAACCCCACAAAAAATTTGACCGTGTATCAACATGACAATCGCGATCCATGGATGTGGCCACATGCAAAAAAAACGCTCGGGGTTTCGTGCAGATGCGCAATTTCGACATTTCATTGTATAGCCGTAGAAATGGTCTTCGATCCATTAATCTTTCAATGTTCCGATGAAGCAATGAAAATATGCCGGCGAAAATTTCAAACGTTCAACCACCACTTTCCTGGCGTTTCTTCGAATTATGCAATCTATTGGCTTCTTTAGCCCCAGCCAGACTTCGCTTAAAAGGCCCAAATTTCTCTCTACCCTCTTCACTTTCTCTATCGCTTCTCACACGAGAAAGTGAAGAGACATTGGAGAAAATCGGGCGCTTTTGGGCGCTTTTGAGTGAAGTCTGGCCGGGGACTTTGCTCTCACTGAAAGCAAAATCCGCACCTCTCGACATTCGCTCCCCCCCCCCCCCCCACTCTCCCTTCCAAAATGACGAAAAAAAATACTCTAGAACTGGCGCCACCTCCAAAGTTGAGGGATTTCGGCACGCGCCATACTCGGTTCACTTCGCTATCGGTCAAATCAGTGAACTGACCAATAGCAGTGGATGTTCCTGATCCACTTCACCACTGGTCACCTTGCTGGTTTGACCATTAGCCAAGTGCATGAAGCGGGTCAAGTAAGGCGCGTGCCTCAGGATCCCACAAATGCTGCGCAGATCTGCGGTCCCATCAAACGATTGTCTATGTGTACTTTGAAAGAAAGGAAATATCGCAATAGCGAACAATTTGCACATCTTGAAACGGTATTCCGAGCTTGGCCGCAAATGCTCGTTAAGTCGTATGTATGCACAGAAATTGTCGCGCAACTGCACAACTCTCGACACTGTACTTTCTGCAGAAGTGTGCGATTGTGAATCGATGCGGCTGCTGCGGACGACAACGTTGCAGCGGTCGATATCACTGTCGATCATCCGCGCATTATAGAAGTTTACAGCGACACGACAGTTTACTTTTCGGCTCATCTGCTTCAGTATCGAAACTCCAGAAAGATTGAACGTTGTTTGAAATTTCCAGTCGCGTGCTGACTCATCTTTCGAATTTATTTCTCGCTTTGACGTTACTTTAGTCTTTCTTGACTTTCGTGTTTCCGGGAGAGGATGACGACTGAGGCAACCATCCCCGACAGTGAGAAAGTGCGTATCGTGTCGGATTTTCTCCAACATGCTCCACCCGGTGAATTCAACGAGGTTTGATTTCCTTGTTTTTTTTTAGTTTTCTCAATACTCATGAAATTACAAGACAATCTATAGGTTTTCAATGCTGTGCGTATGCTACTCAATAATGATCAACTGCTGAAAGAGGGTTGCGCGCAAGCTATTACGAAATACAATGAGAGCCAATTTGTCCCAGTCAAACTTGAAGGAGTTGAAAAGCAGGTTTGTGATTATGACTACAGTGTTTCATTTCTTTACCTTTTTTGATGGACTTCGCTTTGACAAAGGGAAATAGTCTAAGATCCGTATGCATTTGTCACCTCCGCAGAACGAGGAGAGCTTTATGAGCAGCTTTATATCACGGTGCACGGGGACTCGTTTTCTTCATTGCCTTTCCGACTGCAGGGTGCTCTATCACCTTTCACCGCTAAAGCTGTTTATGTTGAAAAAATCTCAGGTTGACGAATCTTGTGAATCATCGAGCTTGGGAGGGCTTCATCTTATCTATGCTTAAATTTCACTTTCATTATGAGCAGATCAGTAGTGTCGATTTATATCTTCAGCGCATGTTTTTGTAAGCTTTCATTGAATTATTGAGAGAGGGAGAGGTTTTTGGAAAGTGGATTGCTGGGTGTCTTGTTACAGGGGTGGCAAAAAAACTGAACGCAGCCTATATTGCTGTATGCTTTTGTTTGTTAGGTTTCCGACAAAGGATGCGGAATTGTAGGCAGCGCAAATACGGATGCTATAGTATCAACACTAAGGCTCCTTTCCACAAGTCGTTTTTGTTCTAGAGAGCGTGTGCGCACGGGTTTTATGGGATAGTCTTCGCTGCTTCAAAATCTGATGTCATTTCGCATCATACTTACCTATATATGGGGTGATTTCTCATTGCCTTGGAGCTGAGGACTGAAGTCATCACATTTCGTCCAATGTTTAATTGTTGAGTGTTTCACATGTACATATCTCGTTCAGTCGAGGAGGGACTGTGATGATTTGTATGTGCTGAGAAAAAATCAAAACTCGTTTTCATTTCAACTTTGCTGCGTCCTTTCTAAATGATGTGTGGGCTCATATTTGTTGGGAAAAAATACCTAGAAACCCAATTACCATGTTTTCACTCTCTGTCTACTTTGGAACAGCAAGGACGAAGTCTCAGATAAAAACAGGGACGATCTTCCACTTGAATTTCTTTCTGTCAGACTTTGGTAACGCCCTTCAATGACATTGGCGGCGGACGCTATGTTGATGATGCCTCGAAAAAGTCTTTCAAATATGATCACCTCCGTAAAGAAGCGAGCGACATTCAATCGAGTCCCGCAGACTCTGGCAGTGCCGACTCGTGGCGCGCTGCTCTACAAAAGGTAACACAAAGTTTGGAGGATGTGACGTCCATTCAGTTAAGTGTTCATTAGGAATTGGACGCATATATAGACGATCATTACACTAAGTCCGGAACTGGATGTGTTTTTGTCCGTCATGGCAATTTCACATTGTGCATCGAGTCGCATCAATTTCAGCCTAAGAACTTCTGGTTGGTTTTTTCATCTTCTCTACCTTTATTTCTACCTGGGTTCTGTCTATCTTGATTTATTTTACAATTCAAGCAATGGTCGTTGGCGGTCAGAATGGAAGGTACCTGTTGGAGATGGTAAAACGGGCAGTCAAGAGTTAGTTGGAAAAATCAAGGTGCAAGTGAGTGTTCACTACAGTTGAAATGTTTTATCTCACCCGCACTTTGGTTCCTTCCAGGTGCATTACTACGAAGATGGTAATGTGCAACTTTTCTCTGAAAAGGATGTTAATGTCAAAGTACAAATAACTGTAAGTTCTCTATACATCGTATGCTGTGGTTAGCTTACAAGACCGTTATAGAGCGATCTCGAAAAGACTGCCAAGGAAATCGTGACGGCGATTCGCGATGAAGAGGGTAAATATCAGGTAAGCTCAACTTATCACTGTTTATCTTTCTCTTCCCTTGACTACATTTTTTGCGTTTGCTATTTTCTAGAATTTATAGTTTCCTGCTAATCTGTAAACTAACTTCTTCACACTCTTCTAATGGCTGTTAGATTTGTGAGCGAACCGAGCAGGCGCGTAAAACTTGGTTGTGCCGTGGATTGAACACTAGCAAGTGAGCGCGGTTGCTGCGTACGACTAGTGTTTCCATGTGTAACTTGAAAAGTAGTGATTCAATAAGCCGGAAACACACAAAAGGTAGTTCCATAATCCCTGCGACAACCTTGTAATGCTTGTGGATTCAATGCTCTCATTCTCGCATTTCACTCTATAAGGGAAGGCGCGAAAAGTGTTTTGAAAACCCTTGTGAATTAGTGTTTTTGCGCTGTGATATAGGCTGTGTCTTTGTGGAAGATGAAGGTTTTCGACGTGTTTTCACTTTTATAAGGGAGGTATTTGATTGTTTTGTGTCACTATTTCTTGAGATATAATCAGTGGAAATTGGGAGTCTCCATTTATTAGTATTTTGAGACGGAGATTACCAACGAACTGTTAAATGGGCAGTTTTTTTTGGTTAAAAGTTGCTTGTGATGAGAGGGCGAATTTCTTTTTAATGTTAGAGCAGGCTACTTGATTTGGTGTTAGATGTTTCAGAGATTGCGTTTCGATTTTTTTTATTTGTGTGTGGAGAACGTGCAAAGTTTTTGCTTGTCATTGTAAAAAATTTGTGTGTGCTTCTTTGCATGAGAAAATCAAATTGGGAAGGTGCATGGTACATATATCCGCTAAGTCTGATTTGTAATTTGACATAATCATAGGTTGTGAATGCATATCTCTCCAAGATACTATTGTACTTCAACGGTTTAGCGTTTTTTTCTTTTCAGCAAGCAGTACAAGAAAACTATGCCTCGATGTCTGACAACACTTTTAAAGCGCTGCGGAGACAACTGCCAGTCATCCGCGCCAAAATGGATTGGCATAAGGTATGCCTAAGTGCTTATTATAGTTTCTCATTAGAAGGGCATTTCTTTGACGTTTGCGATGTTTTCTCCTTAAATACCATGATGATACATGATTATTCACTGCTTTTTCCCGACGAGAGTTGTCCACATTACGATAATCGTTGATGGCGTAGAAGTATCATGGTACTGTTACGTGGTTTTTCCTTAAAGAATTATCTCAGGTGTGGGAAAGAAGCGTTCCATACGTCATTTTAGCGAGTTAGTTTTAATAATTGCTGCTCTCTATTCATGAGTAGGCGCTCCAAACGATGATACTGCTCTCCTTTGCATCGTTTACGTGTCTACGCTGCTCTTTTTCAAAGATATTGTCGTGTAGCGCATGAGCTTTTGTCACTGAAGATTCGGCCGATACAATTGCAAGATTCTTATAGAGAACTATATAGTTTAGTTAGCAGGCCCAGTCGTTCACGAAGCCCTCAAATACTGTGTATGTATGATATTAACTTGGTAGTTCACTTGAATAGATTTTCATCTAGGTGATACTCTTGAACGGAAGAAATTTTTAGTCCTTCGGGCAAGGGCTGATTATTCGAGGAGACCTTGGGTAATTCAGGCAATGTAATTGTACTCGACATAATGACCAAACAGGACATGATATTTCACTCATAGTTGGATATATTGAGGAAAAAAGGCCTTTCTTTTGCCCTCAATTTTAGCCGTCCTAAAATTGGTCTTGGAAATTGTATAGTAGTTGGAGAAAATATCATTATAGACATCAGTAAGTACATCATGCCCTCATTTACAGGTGCAATCGTACAGGATTGGTCAGGAAATGAAACCGCAGTGAGATGTGCTCATTGTCGCCCAAACTACCCTCGCTTAAGTGCTGTTATCCGTTCAGTTCCATTGTTTCATTTTATTGATTTGTTTCTCAAACACGATTTTCGTGATTCTCTTCCTGCTTTAGTTAATTGGACTAGACTGATGAATCAACCGTATTCATCACGCACACAGTCATAAATTCTGTAGTTTCTTAGCCAGAAGACCAGTGTATCTTGGCATTGCTACGACTCTGTCATTGGATAAATTGAATTGAAAATATGTTCGTTGTCGTGCTGCTGCCCTACAATTCCCTACTTGATCCATCTTTGAAGTGTCTATTGGTTTTTGTAGTAGTTCGATTGTTCTTCCGAACAACTTGATTTCGTTGTTTTACTAGATATATTTTTCTAAACGTCTTTTTTTCCATATGAGAGCTCTTTTTTTGCTATGTCACACTATCAGTATCCTGACATCCATTTTTTGCTGGCCAAATCTCTTTCTTGAGCAAGATTTATCTTTATCTAATGCTTGTATATTTTAATAAATTTTTATGTTGTCATGCGAATGTTTTGTCGAGGATGTCAACGCATATCGTTACAGATTCGGTTTCACTTTCTAAGCCGTTCACTTTTTCTTCGGAAACATCCGTAATTGATCTTTTCGTCGTCATTGTAATCTATCACGCTGAACTTTCACAAATCAAATCGAATCGAATCCGTTCAAAACACTTCAGAGCGTTCATTTTGCTCAGTGCTCTCAACTTCCTCTTTTCTCAAGCACAAATCGGAACTGCTTTTTCAAATGCTTTTCCTATCAGGCAATCTTTTCCTGTGTATGACGCTTTTTTCTGAACATGAGGAAGTTTATCTGTGGTCTCGGCGTAGCCCACTCTGTTTACTAGTTTGAAATTCTGTCATCCTATCCGTGCGAAATGCAAAGAAAGCACGTCATCTCAACTATTGTGCCTCAAGTTCTTTCATTATCATTTTATTGCTGAGGTATTGCTTCCTCCCTTGTTGGACAATCTTACTTTTTTTTCAGTGCATTTTTACGCAATTTCTTTCTCAATTTCTGTATTTTTTCTGACTGAGTAAACTCGCTGCTCGCCCTCTGTGAACCGTGCGTTGGTTGAGTCGAACAATGTCATGAACTGATGGAGTCAGTTCCAGGGGCCGGCCCAATCGTATGGAAGTAGGCTGAAATTCGTTTTTGGGGCAAAAAAAAAACAGAGGGGAATAGTCGACGTTTCGTTTTTTGGGGTTTTCTTACTTCTAGGGCTGAGAGTCAAAGGGGCATCGTAAAATTTCGGGGAAGTCAAAGGGAGCTTTGTTTTCAAGAGGCCTAGAAACGAACTCACACCGGGCCCTGGTCATACCCCATTCATCTCCTCGGGAATTTCGCACACCATGTGGTTTCAATTCGCCAGATGTTTGAATTTTCCATGACAAGTCTCAAATGGAAAGCTGTTGTAAGCTGTTAGTTTCCCGCTGTCATTGAGAAAGGCATCTTTCGAATTTCCATACAGTTACCTGTAATAAATCCCTTGGCTTTTTTGAAGTTTTGAGAAATTTTTATGGTAATTTTAACACATTCACGGCAACACGACCCACCAATGGGTCGACGTGTTCTATTATTTCGGACAATACGACAATACGACCCACCGGTGGGTTGTAAATCTGGCAAAGCAAAAAAAGCTTTGGTCCGAAATGGCAGTACTTAAAAAACGTCCTTGTCCTGAACTTGTTAAACTGTCATGATGTGCTATTTTCACAGCCACGTGCAACTAATTATTTCAAAATTGCTTGCGAAATGTGCCCCTCCCTCTTTCTCGCTCTTACGAATCATTTTGTTGCTTTGAAACGTGCTCTCAATGTTTTTATCAATGGTGTTGAAGAACCAGTGGGAAGTTTCATAGTATTCCATATGTCCTCCTCTTGTCTTGAAACTTGGGCATTCGCTTTGAATGATAGATACAATGACTCTCTTGTGCCGGCACAAGAAAGTCATTGTATCTAGTTTCGGTAGTTTTTTTTTTCGATCATCTTATCGTCTATTTTACGAGAGCTGAATAGCCGGTCATAGCTCGCTTGAACTTGTTGTTTGCCTCGTCGCCGCATTGTCAGACCTGTAGTCCTCCCAACAAGTGCGTTAGCAGACGTGGTGAAAAACATCGTGTTTTGGGCAATCGATAAAAGCAATAGCTACAGCGGAGAGGGCAGCTGCTAAGGCCCTAATTTGGTTGTGTATTCCTGCCACCAACGGCAACAGCTGAGACATCGCCTTCATTCTGCGCCAAGGTTATGTTTCGATTCGTTTCGCATAGCTGCGCTTAGGGGATCTAGGAGTGTTTATATTTGATTTGATGGCACGTTTTTTCTTTCTCCATTTTTTTGACCTTTTTTTTTCACGTGGTTGATCAGCAGCTGTATTAACTCTGTCAACCCCGTTCACTCCCACTTACCACTTTTTATTTGAATTTTCCATGATTTTCATTGTAAAGCTGTATCTGCGTCAATATAGGTTGTTGTTAATGGCCTTCTTTTTATCACCGCTTCACGCACGATGAATCATTGGATTTTTGGATCTGTTTTCGATGTTCAAGTGACTGACACGAGATTAAGAAGTTTCTATATCTGCATTCACGAGATTTCTCAAGCATTTCACTCGTGGATTAACCGTCAGGTGCCACATTTTTCGCCGTCTTCTTTTTTGTTATATGCGACGATAGGAAACTCTTTCTGCCCTAGAGGCTCATTGTCAGTAATTGTTACTCCCATACACGTCACTGAAAAGTGAATGATTGACACTTGAACTGATGAGTCAGAGCAGTAACTTTTGAAATAAAGGTTTTTCAGACTTAAAGACGTCAGAAACATGAATCGCTGGGATTTGTGTACTATGGTACTATTTTGAAGTGATAGATGCACTTCATGTTACTTTGCATCACGCTTGTCCCCCCCCCCCCCCCCCCGCAATTTCCGCCTCTTATAAAGGGTAGATACGGAAGAATGAGCCGTTGTTATGGATCCGTTTATATATATTTTTCTCTAGACATCTCACAAACAGTCACTGCCATTCGAACTTCTTTGTTCTTTTTAGCCAGGAAATGTGTGCTTTGTTATATATTTGTCAAATTTGAATTATCATTTCCTTTCTAGTACTGATTCTAAGCGACTGACACATTCGCGTGGATGCATTTTGTCGATGGAATAATTCTATCTTTGCTTTAAAACAATCGAGGAAGTTCATATCTACATGTATCGCTCAGAGAATCGAAATCATCTATTCTTTCAAGTCTTACCTAAATAAGGAAAGTCATTGTTTCTGAAAATTCCGGAGATTAATGTGGTCTAATTTTCCGCGATAGTTGTTTTGAGAAGCTAGGTTAGGTTTACGTACAGATATAAGCGTTTTAAATCATGTTAAAAAGCAATTAGCTTTTGGATATGCAGCAAATGAGTAGTGGAAAAATGCGTTCTACCAAAGTTTATTGCTAGTGAACACTTTCTTTTATAATTCAGCGAATTTTCACTATATTTGGGGTAGAACCTTCGATGAGTGCAGTCTCTCATTATTGATGGGACTTATACCATCATGACCATTAGCGCAAATCCCAGGGGAATCCATTGGCTCTCTTATTTGATGGAAATGTGACTCCTTTCGCACGCTTCGGGGACTATCGCAAATGAACTGATAGAAGCAGCTCTTCTTGAATTTTATATCAGTGCTTATATATGTCATATTTGGAGCAGACTTTCCTTCTAGGTACTTCGACTGTTTTTTTTTTCAATCCTTTTGACACATGTCATTTTTCAAGATTGCCATCTTATCCTGCGACATCTTGACTTATAAGATTACACTTGCGGATGTGAAGCTTAAACTCTTTCAATCCGACTCTATCTCTTATGCTGTTTACTTCACCCCGGACACTTTATCATTATCTTGCGTTATCACGTGCATGTCTTGATTAGCTGAGACCCATCTCATCGTTCAAAGTGACCGTTCCACTTCTTTGTAATAAGTATATGTTGGTTCGTTCATCTGTATTCTTTCCCGTGAATGTGCCGGGCATCATTGTAAAGCATTGTTCAGCTTTTGGGGCTATTTTTTGTCTGTTAAAGCTTTCCTTTAATTTATCACCAGGCTGAAGTTGAATACAGGACGTTCAAAACGATGTGCTTACTGTTTGATTGATAATAATTCACATGTAATGAAGTCTTTCGAGAAGCTTTAGGGACCATTTCGTAGAGCTGGTTTCAGCTCAAGTTTACGGCATGGAGCATATTACCGACTGCTCTCCATTACTGTAAGATTACGGTAGAAATTTTGAAGAGTTTTTGAGCCATGAAAGACCATATTTTGCCCCAAAAAGGAAACAAAACAGCCGGAAGACTCTCACACTGGGCTTATTCGAGTTGAATTCCAAATGGAAATTTGCACCTCACTATAATGTTTCCTTAAAAAATTATGCTAGGTAAGCAGTAGCGGTTTCACTCGTAAAAAGTGCGGTTATACCATCTAGAAAGCTTTGCATCTTGTACACAGTTGAGTATCAAATTCAGCCCAGTCATGAAAATCCTACTACAAAAGTTTTCACTTTTTTGAAAATTTTTGAAACGGCAGCTTTTCTCACTTTGACACCTTATGCTTGAAGTCTCTTTAATTTTACAGCAATGAAGAGCGATCGGTGATTCGCTCTATACTGTAAAGCTAACAAGGGAACGATACTTGGTGTCCGTGGCCTTTTGAGATGGGATGTATACCATTATACTCGTCTCGAAACGCTGATTCGAAATCTGACTTCCTTTTCTGCTGAGCGTTTCAGTGAAAGGAGTTATGGAGGATTTTCGCGCCAAGTTTGGCCGCCCGAGGGAAATACGATCAGAGTGCCAAAACCTTTGGTAGGCTGTGGTGTAGTGGTTAGAGCGATAGCCTCATAAGCTGATGCAGGTGTAGGTTCGAATTCTTTTGTGTTTTTTAGTTTTGCATTGTTAATTTTTTTTTTTGAAAGTCAGGCATCATCGAGATAAATTATTACATTATTTACCTACATTACCTTTACATTATTTACCTACATCATCATCGAATGCAACCGGCATCTTTCTCAGAAGTCACATTTCCAACAATGTTGGCCTTTTTTACCAACCCCTGAGCTTTATCATTTTCCCGAAATTATATAAGAATTCTATTAGATTCGTCTGGATACGACTCGAAAGTGAGAGCAAATGTGAAGCCATTCTTGCCTTTCTCTCTCACCCCGTTCCATATTTAATCGCCTTTGTATTTCATTTTTGAGGTGGTGCATCGTTTACGATACTTACTTAGATACTTAGATGGCCCGGCTTCACGTGACGTGCGGGCCCCAGCTCAGAAGTTTCCATTTTTCCCTGTCCCTCGCTTCTGACATCCACGATCTTCTTGGCTGACGTCGGTGGCTGCGTCCACGAGTTCCAGGTGCAAAAATCGTATCCAGCTGATTTCTCAGCTGGTCCATCCGTTCCACGAACACGTCTGCCCATCTCGTTGGAGGTCTTCCTCGGGGACGTTTGGCTTCGCGAGGAATCCACTCCGATGTTCTTAGTGTCCATCTGTCGTCTGTTCTTCTCATTATGTGACCGGCCCATCGGTGTTTGGCTTTCGCGACGTATTCCGCTGGGTCACGAAGACGGGACATTCTTCTCATATCCGTGCTGCGAAGTCCGACTAGATGTTGCTTGCGTCGGGTCATCTTCAGAAGACTGCGCTCGAGCGCTCTGTGGGTGGTCCGTAAAGCCTTCGACGTGGCTACAGTGTCGGCCCAAGTCTCAGCTGCGTAACAGAGCGCCGGGAGAACGGTTGAGTCGAACAGGTGGGCACGAAGCTCCGGGTCCGTCAGTTGGTCGGTGGCTTCCTTCAGGGGCCCGAAGGCGGCCCAGGCTGCTCTTCTTCTCCTGTTGAGTTCTTCCCTCAAGTCGTTCTCCATGTTCATCGAACGTCCGAGATACACGTAGGAAGACGTCTCCATAATCGGGGTGCCTTCCAATTCCATTTCTGCATCTTCGCAAAGGGCGTTCTTCATGAACTGAGTCTTCTTCCGATTTATTCGCAGTCCGATCTTCTTCCCTACTTCGTTTAGTTCCTTCAGCATCGTCTCTGCTTCGGTGATACTGCTCGAGAAGAGAACGATGTCGTCCGCAAAACGAAGGTTGGACAGGAATCTCCCATCAACTCGTATGCCTCTCTCGTCCCAGTCCAGTGACTTCATCACCCACTGCAAGGCCGCGGTGAACAGCTTCGGCGAGATTGTGTCGCCTTGTCGGACCCCCTTCCCGATTGGTATGGTCAGGGGGCGATGGAATAGCTGCATCGTCGTTGTACAGTCCTTGTAGCAGTCGGCTAACGTCCTCACGTAAGCTGGGTCCACTCCTTGATCGACTAGCGCAGACAGGATGGCGTTGGTTTCGACGCTGTCGAAGGCTTTCTCGTAGTCGACAAAGGTTAGGACGAGAGGCAGTCGGTACTCCCGGCAGACTTCTATGACCCTCGAAACGGTCTGGATGTGGTCCATGCAGCTGAATCCTTTGCGAAATCCAGCTTGTTCTTGGGGTTGGGCTTCATCCAGTGTCCTTGATATGCGAGCGAGGATAATCTTCGTGAAAAGCTTGTACAGCACACTCAGCAAGCATATTGGACGATAGTTCCGAAGATCCTCCCGTTCACCCTTCTTGAAGAGAAGGACGGTTCTTGACGTTCTCCACTGGTCGGGAATCTTCTCCTTCTGAAGGTAAGATGTCAAATGCGACGCTAGAATCTCGTGTAGACGGTGTCCTCCGGCTCGCAGAAGTTCGACGGAAAGATGATCTGGTCCTGGAGCCGTGGACGTCTTCATGGTCTGTATCGCGATACGCACTTCAGCAGGTAGAATTCGTGGTGGTACTTCTCCAGTGGGAACAACGGGCATCTGCACGGGTGTTGATGAGCGGAAGAGGTTGGTGTAGAAGTTCTTCGCGATAGATTCCATCTTGTATCGGGAAGAAGTCGGAGTCCCGTCTTCGTTCAGTAGTGCAGCCAGCGGTACGTGATATTCGCAGAGGTCCCTTCGGCACTTCTTGAGACTTCGTCTTCTTTCTGCTGCTTCCAGTATCTTGGCTTGCCTGTACTTCCTGAGATCCTCTTGCAAAGCTGTTCTGCAACTGGTGTTGGCAATCAGTCGCTCGAGATGAGTTGCATTCGGATCCTGCCTCAATGATCTTCTTCTTTCGAGCAATTCCTTGGTGGTCTTCGAGATGCGGTCCAAGTTCTTCTCAGAAGTCACTGAGGCGCATTCTCCGCAGGCTCGCAATCCTTTCAGAAGCCGGTCGTAGTCGCACGTTGGGTCCTCCTCGATGGGCCAGTCACAACTTGATATGAGCTCTTCCAGCCTGTTACCGTCATAAACGACTTCCTTCCTTCTCGCGGCACTATGACAGACTTTCTTTTCCAGCCTTCGGCTGAGTCGTATCTTCGCTCGAAGGAGGCGGTGATCGGAGCCACTACAGAAGGATGGAACTACAGAGACATCGAGTAAGCTCCACCTTCGGTTGGTGAGAATGTGGTCGATCTCCGCGTGGGTCGTTCCGTTGGGCGATTCCCATGTCCACCGGCGATGTTCCTTCTTCATAAAGATGGAATTTCCATGGAAAAGTCGTGCGGCGGAGAGAAGCCCAACAAGACGGTTGCCGTTTTCGTTCCGGAGCCCATATCCAAACTTCCCGATCCTATATTCCCTTTCCAGTGGCATCCCGATTTTCGCGTTGAAGTCGCCCACAACAAACTTGTAAAAGGACTTCTCGTTGCGGACGACCTCCTCCACATCTTCGTAGAAAGCATCTAGTTCTGATTCGTCAGCTGCTGATGTTGGAGAATAGCAGTTGATGATGCTGATGGTCTTCTGATGTGGAGGTCGTAGTCGTAGGATGCCTAGTCGAGGTGATAGGATCTCGTGCGAATCGACAAGATGGACGATAGATGGGTGGACGACAAAGCCGACGCCTCCCACGTTTCGTGATGGAACCTTTTCACCACGAATGATGAGGGTCCCATCACTCATCTGTCGCACGTCCTTCTTCCTGGACTTCGTTTCCTGCAGAGCAATGATGTGGTAGTTGATGTGCTCTGCAGCGTCGAGAAGAGCGTGGAGGTCGGCGTTTGTGGAGACTGTCCTGGCGTTGTAAGTGCAGAGCATGAGGCAGTCTCCATGGCGTGTCGTCCGGGCAGACGTGTCGTTTTTGTCCAATCCGAAAGGCGCCCTGAGTACCCTGACATCGTTCTTGCTACCACCCGGCGCCGTAGGCGGGTTCCGATGTACAGGGTTTTTTCTAAATCTTCTTGCTGTCTGAGTAATAAAATTTGTTCCCCTACAAGAGGTGGCTTACCAGGCCTACTCTTGATTTCCACGGGGTGATCGCTGACCCCGGACTTGGAGCGGGGAGGGACCGCCTAGCGACCAGAAGAAGCCAGACGGCGGAGAATCTGGCGCGGCCAGTTCTTAGCTAGGCATCCGGCCGAAACCGGAAACGTCGAACTCCTTCACAGCTTGGGAGGCCCTACCAGAGTATACACTCGGCTGTGCATCGCAGTTCGACACCCAGTGTCACCCCCACGCCACGATGAGGCGACCGACCATTGTGGGGGATCGTTTACGATGTATTTAATAAATAAATAAATAAATAAATAAATAAATGCCCTTACTAAAAAACCAAGAAAAGTCATGTTTATATGAGTGCTCCCTATATCTATTCTGAAAGGTGCTTACAAAAATGAAAACGACTTATGATTAATAGATATATTTCAGGCAAACATTAATTATTTCTCCGAATTTTCCATATTTTCTGGAGAGGGAGGGCATGCATTTATCTCGAGGATGCCTGACTTTCAAAAAAAAAAGATTAATTGAGGCAATGCAAAAAACACAAAAGGATTCGAACCTACACCTGCATCAGCTTATGAGGCTATCGCTCTAACCACTACACCACAGCCTACCAGAAGTATTGGCACTCCGATCGTATTTCCCTCGGGAGGCCAAACTTGGCGCGAAAATCCTCCGTAACTCCTTTCAGAGAAACGCTCAGCAGAAACGGAAGTCAGATTTGGAATCAGCGTTTCGAGACGAGTATAATGGTATACATCCCATCTCAAAAGGCCACGGACACCAAGTATCGTTCCCTTGTAAGTTGAAGCCAGCTCTACAAAACGAACCTAAAGCTCCTCGAAAGACTTCATTACAAGGGAGTTATCAACAGTTGAATAGTAGGCACATCTTTTTGAACACCCTGTATGATGGGTTGGCTGAATAGTTTCTTTTGGCATGAAAATCTCCTTTGAAACTTTGTTTTTCGTTCAGAATTTTCTACTATCGGTAAAGGACATCAGACCCCCATGTCTAACTTTCCTTAGTTTCTTGACTTCATGTCTTTGTTTTCATGCTTTGATGGATGTAGAGATGAACGATTTGAGAATAACAGTGATAACGGTGATCTCCAATTTCGAGTACTTTGCTTCGAAACGAAATCCTCGCATTTTTGCACGGTGAGGAAATCGGTACCTTACTTCTTCGCTTCTTTATCTGTAATGATTCAGATTTTATGTGAATTCAGTTCACGTATCTATTTTCACTAGAGTACTTTTTCCAGAGATATCATACCCTGGACAAAAATTCGTTTCAGCAGTCGTAAGAGCCACAAAAGCAACTGAAATAACAGCTAACCTACTCCATAGATAGTGTAAATTGTATAAATTTATCTATCATAACATCTAGCAAGATTCTTTTGATCTCTATTTAGTATACTGCAGTTTAGACCTTATTCTTTCACGGTATTTCAATTCTTATGCAAAATAGGACAGCATTACAGGACTAAGGTTTCTGAGCCAGCAATAAAATATAGCATTTCTAATACTTTTTCGCCTATCTCTATTTTTCTAACTTTCTTTTTTCTTTGAGCTGGTCCAGTGTATAAGAACTATACTAGAAGCGAAGTTTCTGTAAGCAGCGACTTAGTTCCACTTTTTCTCTTGGAAACTTTCGTGAATAAATCGTTTTTTGCTTTTGGTGTTCATCGAGAGCAATACTACCGTTATCTACATCGCACGAATGACCCTTTTTCATTGTGGGCGTTACAAAGCATCCACCAATGTTTGCTTTTCTCCGTTATGTCCGAAGTAGTATGGATCGTATTTGTTCAGTTCGCTCGGTTTATTCAGTTTGTTGCAGGAATGACGAATGCGACCACGATTGCGACGACTGCGACAACTATTGCCGCCAATGTAGCGAAGTAAGTTCCAGAAATTTTGTTTTGTAAATTAGAGATTGTGTGTTATCTGTAAGGTAATCTGAAGATTTGGTTTTGGAAGATTATTGACTCTGACAGTGAGTGTTGTATAGACTTCTTATTTCATTTTGGTAGCTTTTCGTAATTGACTCTTATTGATCTGTCGTTATAACATGAACATCTTTTTCCATGTATGGATCGAAAAGTCTGGAACTACAATTTTTCTTAAAAAGATTTGTCACCGCAAGAATTCGATTGCTAGAACTCAATAGAAATGAAGTCGCGCCTTGTTCCTTTTTGTTGCAGAAATTTCCTTTTGCATTGTTATTAGACCTGAAGGTTGTTGCTATGACAAGCAAATGCGCTGAGCCTTCTCCTCTAATCAATGTTTGGCAAGCCTCCAGCTTTTTTTTATTTAGAAAAGTACAAAAAGCCAATCTTTCCTCCTCATAAGCTCCTTGCAGTTACATCGCGACAGCCGTTAACTTTCTTTTTTTCCATCGCAAAATACAGCCGTCAGTCATCGAGCGAGAACGTACAATTGCTGCAGAGTGCTTGGTACTGAAAGCTAGCGGCTGAGTCAGCGATTTAATGGATGAAGAATTTTCAGGGACACAGAATGGGAGAGGGGGGGGGGTACAATTTGAAGTAAGCCTTTTCAAAGCAGTAAATCTGCTTCGGGTCTGATTAATCTTTAGCCCTTTTAAGCAAACTATATGCTTCTGATTTGGTTAATCTTAATTTTCTGTCCTAATCTGGTACAAAGTATGCACTCTAGAGTAAGATTTTTTTTCTGAGATTCCTGGTGATTACTTTTTTCAATGACAAATATCGCCTACTACGCACGGTCACATGTAATTGCTTGATGCATAAATGATTTCGTGCTTCCCTCTTAGCTGTCTCTGGCGGATTTAGCTCCGCATCAGTCTTCACCTCGGTTTGTGATGGTAAACAGCAGAATTGCATTAATGAGGCTCGCAAGAGTTATCTGCAATGTGAGGATATTTGTTTATGAGTTTTTGAAAACCTCCGGTGATCTCTGCATCATTCACTAACCGCGCGTTTAGGACTAAGAATTCTGATGTCATCTGCGAAAACCAGAAAGGAAAAACGGCTGTAGATATTGGAAAATGAGCTGCATCAGATGAAATCTGAATTGCTTTTGGATTTTCAAGGTTCAGTTTAGCCAAATCGAAAATATGGCCACATCAACTATTCTTTGGAACTATAAAGAGTCACTTGGAAGGACTTGAGAAAGTGCTGAGTTGCAAAGTTTTTACTGCAACCCCCCTTATATTTTTTTGAAAACGATGGGTTGGGTTGGATTGTACCTTCGGCGATTATATGACTTACCAGGGAGGGAAAATAATCTATGAACAGTGCTGGAAAGTGGAAAGATTACATCGAAATCATGCAAAGCTCATGCGTTTCTTTATACAAAGTAGTTTGAAAAGGTAAAAAAGGTACGAAACTTTTTAAAGACCTATGATTATCAAGCCTGTAATTGCAAGCAACGATGATCACCGAAATCTTAGCCGAATAGTTCATTATCTAAACTAGTCAATCTCGTTGATTCAACATATTGGTCGACCTTCATTTGCTGGTGAAGGAATGATCATTTCTGCTAGCTCCATTTTTGGTCCTCATCGTGCCAGCTTCATCGGTTTAGCTCCATTTTCACTTAGAAATCGTTTGAAATCTTGATGAGCTTCGTTTTCTTTCAGTCCTGCATTTGCATCTCATTCTTTTGATTGCCGCTTGGCACTTCCTACTTCTGCAAATATTTTTTTCATAGAGATGATGTAGACTTCCTTCCAACTCTGTGCAATGGGATTTCCATAGATTCCTCCAGCTGAGTAACTTAATTGCATGTTAGTGAGCGAAGTAATGGCATTTACTGCCCGTAGTGGTGGCATCAGCTCCGCCCATGTGAGCTTGCATTAGATCCAGTAGACATCAGCGCCAAACTTAGACATCTCTTCCGGATTTTCTGGATCCACTGTCTGAGTCGTAGCTGCTTCGGCGTCTACGATGGCGATGTACGGCTCGTTTGGTTTGCTCAACTCGACGCTGATCGCACCTACGAAGTAATTTTTCATGTATTTTTGATTTTTTGCAGCTTTTCATACGAACTTGGCTTCCTTTATCCTTGTCCTCACATACTCTCTCATATCTATTGTAATACATTTACTCGTGCGCACTTAATGTGCATTTTGTAAATATATAAATAAAAACTTCGGTAGCAGGATGAAATCTCTTGATGATGGAAAGCTTATTCCGCGTGACTCCAGTCTATAACTGCTAGAAGATAGAGTTGAAACTGTATGCACCTTGAGTCATTTTTTGAAAGATCTTTACGCTATGAATTTTGGGTGGCTTGAGTTCTAAATATATCTTCTTCACAGTTAACACTCTATCTCTTAGTACTGTGTCCTTTTTCACAATAAAATATAGTTGATTACCTTTGTCAGTTTTCCAGTTTACCAACAAGGGCAGGCCGAGTTTGCTATCCAATGGGTTACATCTGAAGTCTTTACTGTCTTTGACACTTTTTATTTGTGCACAAAATCCTTATGGGTTTGATGTAGGGTCAGTCGATTCCCTGTTTATTAAGCAATTTTTTGCATTCTAAGCTCGTGGACGAAAGACGACGATCGCGTTATTCCGACTTTGGCTTTTGCACTATTGAGAAAGTTGAACGAGATGATACTTCTATGAAAAAAGTGAAGCAACAATTTTTCATCTTTGTTTTTAAAGACCTCACAATAACAGCAATAAGGTCATGAATTGCTTTCATGCTCTAAAATTTGCTCAGATTTTCACACAAACTGTCCATTAGCCTTTCATCTTTATTGAAATCAAATGTTTCGAACCTTTATGAGTTATGTCATGATCAGCTCATTCTGTACAAGCACATATTTTTTTGATGTCGAGCTTGCATTTGTCAGCCTCCGTCTTTGTAGAGTGGAAGCCCTTACTGCCGTAGTTTTTGCTCTTTTTTCTTCTCAAAATCAAGTACTTGGTAATTTTGTGTGCCTAACGATTTGTCTGCCAGCGTGCTCGTTAGTGCTGCAAAATGTTGTGCGATTCGCGTTCTCATGCAACAGTTTTTTTTTTCGTCAGCTGGAAGAGTAGAGAATAGAAATTTGAGCCTCTAGTCATTGAATATGAGCCGGAATCTATCAGAAATAGGGCAGACTACGTCTTTGTAGTTTATAATCTCCTGAAATCTCTCGAGTTTTCTTTCCAGAAAAATGTGACTAGTTTTCAAGTAAATTTTGAAACTTTGTTGATATTAGTCTGCCAGTTGTTCAGAGATTGCGCTGAAAGGAAGCCCATGTGCAGGTGCGATCGAAATGTAATATGCCTCTAAGGCATAATTTGCATATCAAATTAAACACGTGCAGACCTCAGTGGTCCTTCATTTTCAAAGATTGTTCCTTCTTTTCATAAACAGATCTCATGATGAAGAGGTCCCCTTGCAACGAGTCTTCTGTGAAGTGCATAAACGAGTTGCTTTGGCTTGAGAGGAGAAGCCTGATAGCGATTATCTCGCTAGTGTCTCTACTTATGGTGCAACGCTTAGTTGTTGACTTGCCATTGACTGCTGCTGTACCGATTGAAATGTTCAATGCATTCTATTTATCTTTATTCTTACAAAGCTATCGAAAAAGGTAGTACATTTCAGTCTTACTTTTTGGATCTTCTGTATCCCATAAATAGCCACTGTTTATCTGGGCACAATTTTTTTTGCAAGTGCAATTTTTTCAAGTTGCCCAGATTATCTAAAACTGCGCTATCACATTTCGACAGCGAAAAACGTTTCTATATGAGGAAACTGCTTGGTAGTGCCAGGAATGAGAATGAGAGGGAAGTATGAGCTGAATGCTGATTAGTTTTTTAGACTGCATCCTGTTTTTTGCAGTAACAATGGAGAACATTTTTTTTCTTAATCTTTTAGCCTCATTTTTTTTTTGTTCAGAATAGTCAACACGACGCTAGCTGCTGTAACTACCACTGTGCTACCTACTCATGGAAACTTCACAGCAACCAATGCTACGATTTTTTCAAATATCACCACCACAGTCCCATCAACGACTCACTTGCCGACGACGGTAAGTGTCTTGATTGTTTTTCAGTTTTTCTTTTCTTTCATCTGAATTTGGGGTCAGTAATGCCATTTGCATGCAAATATTACGCCCAATTTCTCTGAAACGTTGACTCAGTATTTGCAATTGTTATACATTTGCAGTGGCCTGTTCGCTTTCTCATCCTAAAAGTTTTTTTTTAATTTAGATGCAATTTTCCACGATTGCTAGTTCGTTTGTTTCCTTTTCTCTTTTTTATGCTTCATTTCTCTATTTGGAAATTCAATGAGGAAGCTCTCAGAGATAAGAGAATCCATTGAAGTGTCACTTTTGCTCTATATTGTCTTCTCTCATTAATACGTTTCGGACCGCAAAATCGCGCGCGGCGAAAAAGAGTGTACTTTCAGCCGTTAGCCTACTAAGGGACCTTATTTCGTAGCCTGTGGGCCACATTTGTAATCAGCATGTCCGATAAGCTCCATATCCAAAGTTCTGAGTGAATTCGAAGTGTTTGAATTTTGTCGCTTGAGAGGGACTTCTGTGCTTTTTTGAAAGATAGGAACAAGAACTCAGATTTTAATAGTATGCAAAATATCTATGTTGTACACGGCACACATCAGTATTGAAATTACGATTTTTCTCTTTGATATCGAAGCAAAGGGAAGTTGCGACGTCGCACGCGTCGTTCGCGTCGCCGCACTTTGTTGCAACTGTTGTTCGATTTGTGCTCATATCTCCTAAACAAATATGCGCGGCACAGCTCTACAGAGTCATTTGAAAAGTAGGAGCTTAGACCTTTGACTTAACAACTTTGGACTAAAAGGAAACCTCCTGTAAACGCCATAAAGGTCCCTCAAAGCAGCGTGCTGCACCACGTGCAGCACCGCTCCGAAACGTGTTAACTTGATCTCCCCCCCCCCTTTCTTTTTTCATCTACATATGAAAAAATTTGGAATTCTTCACACTAAAAATTGTTTTGTAATAGGGACTTTACCTAATCTCCTGTAAGCATCTTGAAAAAGTGAAAAGGGGGTAGGAAGAAATTAGAAAATATATCAAACAATCTGCTTTTTTCACATATTTCACCAGTGTTTCTGTCTCTTAGCAAAGCTCTTCATTCTAAAATTTCTTAGTCCGGGATGTTTTCCGACGATTTTTGAAGGTTGCTCGACGTTTTGGACCTTTCCGCAATCTCTGCCCATGTACATTCGAAGTCATCATTAACTCTAGAGTTTCCTAGTTAGCATTGCTAGCAAGCTATTTGCATCTTGCACTAGAAGTTTGGCCTTTGCTTCAATTTTTTATACAATAAAGTGTCTTTTCGACTTCCAATTTGTTGTATTTGCTGAAACCGTGAATGCTATGAAGCAGAAGACTCTAAACGCTTTCGAATATGCTAATTCGACACGTTTGCACATTATGGTTTGCTTTCTCTGATGACTCATGTTCTCTCCTTGGGACAGTCCTGATCGATGTGGAATGACTGATTTTCAAAAATGGCAATTTCTCTTCAGGCCAGCACTGCAGTAACGAATGCTACCACTGCGACGGCATCATTGCCGACCACGAAAGTGAATCCCACAAGTGCAGGTGAAAGTTTCTTCATTTTGAATGGAAGGTATCTCTGTGCTAAGTTTCCTGGTTTTTTTTTTCAAATTTGTTACCTAGCATGTTAGCTAGAGTAGCTAGAGTATTGAATGATTTGAATCAAGGATATATAAACAAGAATGGATGGGGTCCACTTAAATGAAAGATGTGCACCTAAGATTTGTTATTTTTTTGCGTTTTTTGGATTTTTCTTATTTTAGCGTTCCCCACGACCACTACAGCACCCGCTGGTGGTTCTCCTTCAGGACTGGTTTTTCTATCCGTAATACTGTTTGCAGTTGCAGTAGCTTTGATAGCGAAGATTATATACAGCAACAGAAGGAGGTAAATTTACCAGTCGAATTCTTTACACCCACTTTTCTACTGATTATTCCATAATTTTTTCTTGAAATTTGCAGGAGAAGCGATCTTATTGGTGGCACAGCTCGCTGGAGGTTAGCTGCTTCCCAACAAAGCGGAGCTGGTCCGCAACAAACGGCAGCCAGCTATGCGCCCATGGGTGGCAATAGGCAAGCGAACGGCACTAATGGATTGGATACTCCTGGTCCTGATAGACTGGACTGGGAACGACAGTTCTTCGATGATACCGAGGCCACAGTAAGTGAAAATTTTGAGCTCACAACCGATAAATTTTTCTACTGTTAACCTGTTGTGTTACAACAGCTTCAGATTAATGTCACTGTATAGCGATCAATCATATCGAACCCAATGTAAGTCAACAAATGTTGTGTTGTTGAAGTGTTGTGCGCAACGTGGTCGTGGTTCGTGTCAAACCTTTCCGATCAAAATTATGTTACGAAAATGCTTTTTGAGAAATTTGTAGTCCATGTCTATGGCTTCAAAGATTTTCTCGCATTTATTTGAATCGAACATACTAGATTTCTTGTCTTCCATATTATTGAGCATTTCGAAATTCAACGCAGTGGCCAAGTTTACCATGATAAAGAACATAAGCAACATAGTAGGGTGTATGCTAGGATGGTACATTGCGTTGGTACATTGCGAAAATTTTGGCATAGGATAGACCTGAGTTTTCGATACGAATTAGTCTTATCAAGAAGTATTGTAGTGCATGCCTAATGACATACGAACGACGAAGTAAAATAAATCTGATTATAATTAATGATTCATACGGGATGTATGTCAAGAGGCGCGATTTTTATTGCCATTTGGTGCATTTCTATCAAAATTTCTAACAAGGTTGTATGAACGGTAGGTTGCTTGGTCTTGTTATAGTAGAATATCAGAATACTTGTTGGGGGTCAAAAAAAAAACGGTGAAAATGCAATTAATGGCGTTATCATGAATATCTAAATTAGTTTTCCACCAAACGCCGTCAAACTCAGAAAGTAGTAGCTCCAGATACTAACAATAAGTAAGCTAGAGCACTTCGTCTGGAAGTTTTGAAAAACTTGCTTAGCCCTAAATTGGTCTGTTAGGCCCTGGGCAGAGCTCACGCGACGAAGTCGCGCGATCTCCAGTCGCGACGACTTGCACGAAAGTGGCGGCTGGGACGCGACGACTGAGTCGCTCAGTCGTCGTAGTCGTGCATACCTCCGACGCGATTTCATGCAATTGTACGACACTTTACATATTGCACGTACTCTAATTCATTACTGAAATTCAGTGCTCTCGTTGACTTTACTACATCACTATCATTCAAAAAAGGTGCAACAGCAGACAAAGAAAGTTTGAAAGTTTATCACATAGCATCCAACTTGAACCAATCACAACGTTATGCACCCAAGTGATCAACAATAAAAAGAGAAGTCAACGACATTGTGACTCTGGAAAAAATGGCTCATAATCAAATGACTGGTGGGAAGCATCAATAAGGAATAGGAAACAAGTACCAGCAAGGCCCAATGGCTGTGCGGACATTCCTAAAGAACCGTTAGGCGGCAAAACGATGTTTTCAGCTCTAGAAACGCCCCCATGTGCTGCACATGATAGACGAAAATACTGTTACTCATTGGCTCATGTTTCGGAGTTTGCTGCACACCATCGTCAACGTAGACTGTGAGCACATTCTTTGAGTATTCGACGCTCAATCGAACAGGGTAGGGCTTGTAACGGATCTTTGTGGCAGTCTAGGATTTATGAGATGTAGGAAAACGTAGGTGAAAGACATGAAAAAATGCAAAATGAGGGCATAAATTGGCATTTGCAACATTTCATGCAGAAACCCTCATAATCCGAAGAAAAAACAACAAATTTAAACAGTAACATCGAAAATGCAGTTCAGGATCGACGCGACGGTCGCCCGTCGCTCGCCGCAAATGAGCGACGCGACATCGCGCCGATTCGGCAAAATCGCGACGCTATCGCCTGGCGAGCTATGAACGCCGAAAAGTGTGGCGCGATCCGTCGCGCCGCGCAGCCATCACAAACGCGTCGGGACCCACACAGTAAACAGCGCGGCGTGGAACACTTGTCCAAAGTGATAGGGCGCGACGCGACGAAATCGCATGAGCTCTGCCCAGGGCCTTAGACTGGTGACCTCTGGGAAAATTGCGCTTTTTGATCGTCTCCCGTTCGTACAAATGTTTGTACATTCTTTCAAATTGTGGCTGTCTTGAATCTCACGAATTTTCTGCTAATTCATGGAGGCACTCCATTCATTGATTACCGATTCTGTTCGATAATTCTTTCTGAAACTTTTGTCAGATATAGTTGAAATACTGACGTCCAGCCTGCAACCTTTTTGTTGTATTCATTAGTGAAAACTCTACATTTCAGGTCCCATCTCGTCTACAGCTAGATCTCAGTCGCACTTGAACAACTGGGATAATCAGAGGACTTGCCGCCTGGAAAATTTCGCATTTACCAATTTTTGTTACAAGGTTTCACAAATTTGCTTTTGCACGATGGCTTTTAACCCAGCACATTAGTTTCGTCGGGTTCTACGTATTGTGCTTGTATTAAATTGCCACAAATTATGGGGTTCCTGAGTATTAACCGTTGTTTTTTTTTCGCTTCACTGTATTTTTTCTGCAATGTCTGTTCTTCCGTATAGCTTTAAAAATGGATATTGTGAATATCTGATGAAACCTACTCCACTCGCTGCCAGAGCGACAATTGTTAATTGACTGTGATCATATCATATTGCTGCATACATGTGATAGCACCGCAAATTGCGCTGCAGATGGAATTTTATGTGTATAACGTGAGGCGGACATATTAGAGAAATGTCAACTTATTCGAGAATTTCTTCACCATCGTGTTTTTACGATTTTTGTTTTTGTTTTCTCTCTTTCATATGAATAAACGAAGCAAAGACGATTATTTATGTGCTCGACTTGTGTGGTATTTCCATTCAGGACCCGTACCGACTGTGGCATAGTGTATTGCGAAACGGTCGTCGCTTGTTGGTTGTCCTAGGTTGTTGCTTTCTGTCAGCCTTCATAAGGGCGTTCTTTAGTCTCTAGTTTTTTGAGGACGTGTATTTTTTTGGGTTTTTTGGGTCTTCAATTGCATACTTATTAACCATAATGTATCCTTCATGCTTTGACTAAGAGGCTCAAAACCGCTCTGCGCACATTGTCTAAACGGGCTTGAACTTGTTCTTTCAAGTTTCCAACTAACGATAACCCTGTATGAGTTAGATAACAAGTCTAAACTAATTAACCACACGATCAAGCTTGTTTTGACGATATATGCGACGTTATTTGATCTCTTTTCACAAAATCCACTCAGAATGTCAGCAGCCACTGCGACTCACAAAAACAATTGTTTATCCCATTGTTACTCCGTGTCACTCCAGACTAGCCGAAGAAATGTTTGGAGTGCGCAAGAACTAACTTGCAACTAACTCGCTTCAGATTCGCAAATCTTTTGAATGTGCTCGGAAACGACCGTAAGGGGGTGCATGTAAACATAAGCAGAAAGCTTTTTTACATTAAGTCCCAAGGTGCCGAATAAAGGGCGACAAATTTGCGGCAAAACCCAGCTGCACATGTGGATATTTGATGAGAACAGTAGTTACATATCTATAGGCCATTCATTGCACGCAAAGACTGCGGACGTATCGGTCTCCCTGATCAAGCGCTCTTTCATTTGTTTACCATCTGCAATCTCTACCAAGCACGCTATGGCCTAGGGCATGGTGTCCACGATACCGTCGCGCTGCGATTTCTGAATTACGACAACTGTTACGCACTCGTTGTATGTCTATGCGTCTGCTACGGCGCTTGTGATACTCGTCCGGCGCGACGGATCGCAGACCCTTTTTAGCTAGGGCATAGTTCTGCAGCGATGATCGCCGCGATTTCGGCCGAACTCAGCGATGTCGCGTCGCGCGTGCTGCACGGGCGACTGGGCGATATCGCTGAGGTGCGAGGGACATCTTGAGAGTTTTTTGTACGCATGCATTGTTCTTTCACCTCGTTTTTGTTTGAAAAATAAGAATATCTCTTCTGAAGTAGTGATGATTATGAACTGTCGTGTAAGCCGTCGTTTTCTTCTTTCTAAATCAATATTAACTAGTGCGTTTTTTGATGTTTTTTCGTGGGCGACATGCGAAATAACTGCAGTTGCAAACGAGTTTATCGAGAGTTTAACGAGAAAAATTTTTCTGGATGTTTTTCATTATCTTGCAAGCTTTCAAAAGCTAGATTTTGGAGATTCAAATTCTTTGTGTAAATTAAGACACCGGTAGTATACTTAACAATTGTTATGCCTTATATGAAACCAAATTTGAATGGCGTCCTTTACGTGCAATATATTCAAGTGTGTGAGTGCACGCAGTCGCGAACACTATGCCCATGCACGCGCGAAGGACGATTTCGTCGTCGCGATGTCGTCGCCCAAACCACCGATTTCCCCGACGATGAAATCGCGGCGACGAAATCGTGGACACTATGCCCGTTCCCTATCTTGGTTGGACGCAACGGCGCCCAGTCTTTGCGTGCTATGTATGAATCGCCAATAACTAAATGAATGAGGGCCCCTGCCTCCCCCCCCCAATTCATTCATAGTCCGTGAACCTCAATAAAGGATGAGAAAATGAGAAACTATGTGCTGCGAATTATGCTGGCTGAATGCCCCGAGTGTGGTTACTGGCAGCTTGTCGCTCGCGACGTTTTCCAGTTGGCAGCCAGCACGTAACAATACGCCCCCAATGAATGGGAGCCTAGAGGGTCTTACAGAACAGATTTGGCAGTCGTTGCAATTTTCAACTACTCCTCGCCGCCACTTACGGGGCATTCGTGGCGGGACTATCTGTGTATTACTCCAATTTCAAAATATGAAGCTGCACACCGTACCATTCATTCTCCTTTTCCTACTCGCTTTTTATAATGAGGGATTGTCATGGATCCTGAGGTTACTAAAATGACAAACTCAAGTTCAAATTCGATTTGGGCAGCTAATGTCTCAAGTTGTGTTGAAATCGTTGGAATCTTCTGATGCACTATAGTCTATGCACCACGATCAGGAAATGCTAAACGAATTTTTAGCTGGCCTTGAACGAAAAAATGTTGTACATATTATGCATGAACACTACACATGTACTAGTAGGATAACAAAATTGCTGAGAAGGATTTAAGAAAGCGCATGTGATTAGCCCATAAAGTTACTCGTTGATACAATAAGGTACACGAGGGAATGATTGAGCAGAATTGACAGGTGGTTCGTGGGAGAAAAGATCAGGCACCAAGGTTGTCAAAGAATCACAGATTTCGAAAAATTAGATAACTTCTTGATGTACAAGATGACATGTGTACTTCGACTCCTGATGCAATTTATAATGGAGCAGAAGGTGTTTGACAGAAGTCAACCTTTTAAGTTGACTTGATATGCGCTTTTTCTGCGTGATGCAAGTCACAGTCAACTGCTGCAAAGAGACCATGAGGTATTTTCTTTATTCAGAATTCAATTGTGGACCATATCAAGACTCGAAATTTGGGTGCTAACGGTAGAAACGCATCTGCTTCAGATGCAATGTATTCAGCATAAAACAAAGCAAAATAAACTTTTGTTCTAGACCCATATAAGCGTCAGAAAGGCCCAAGTGAAAGTTGTGGACTCATAGCAGCATGTTATTATTACGCAGCAGCATTGAACCTTATCCAAGTAATGTTCGCAAGATATCGTACTCACTAATGTAATGGGGATCACTGCTCTCCGTTTAGATCACACAATGATTTTCTCTTCCCACCTGTCACTAATATCATTCCGAACATCGCAAGCTCGCAGAAACAGCGTCCGCATGGAATCTAGTCCATTTCCTCTGGATCCGCGAGTCATTTCAAAGAAACAGCAAGGGTTCCTTCATTTTCAGGTAGTAGAACCTGTCCTACTAGGCGACGATGCTTAAAGATGACCATTTCGCATGGGTAGCTATGGAAACTTCGGAATCAGCATTCTTGAATGCAAGAATGCACTGTTGGGTGTAGGGCGTTAGGCGACAAACCCGATTTTTTGGACCCCGGATAACTCCCCGTGCAAAACATCTCTTCCGCCAAAAACAGGGGGGTGGGGGTCGGGGCCGATACATTACTCGATGCCATAAAAAATTGCACACAGTTTTGACTTACGGGCTTTACGTTGATTGCGTTTTGCACATTTTGTCGCCTAACGCTTGCCCTCCTGCACTGTTACTGGAGCAACCTCTGACTGAAACACGCAAGTTCCCGCCACGAATGTCCTGTAAGTGGCGGCAGGGCACTGTAGTTGAAAATTGCAACGACTGCCAAATCTGTTCTGTGAGGGTCTTTCGTGGCCGGAATTTTGGCGTCATCGAATATTTCATTAGTCTTTTGTAACAACCTAGTAGCAATAAATTGACGATTGACTAGAAAAAACCAAATGTGTAGGGTAATTAAACCGTCGAAGTTACCGTCCTAGCGAATGACTAGTTGCAGCACGTCATATTGCACGCACATTTACAGGTATGCCTTATCTGGACATTTGCTAAGTGTCTATGGAACGATTTTCCCTTACAAATATGAGTTTTGTGACTTTAAACGCCTTTTTCAGCTCGATATTGCCATCGTAAGCATGCTAATGTTGAAGTATTTGAGAAAATTCAAAAGATTTTCCACCGAATAAAGTCTATTCGAAGTGTTTAGCGTTACTACACAGCAAGTTACGATCATTTAATGACAATTTCGTTTATGTTTCAAGCAACTTCTAATATGAACCAAGATTTCAGTGTTGAAATGTGCAGTTACAGTAAGCATATGAACTAGTAAGCACATACATGTATCTTTGATTCAACTGGTTTAGCTCCGTCAGGGCAGGCCGCTCGCGCCCGCGACGCACCTGCGTCTCTCGCGCGCGAGTGCTCTCTGATCACTACCTAGCCTTAATTAGGTCACGAAGCCCGCCTTTGCCGAAGCTCAGCCAGTTGAATCAATTGTATATAGAAGTGCAAAGCTTTGCACTTACGATCCATGTCGAAAGACTCAGCATTTCATAAGAAATCAGTTGGTTTTTGCGCGCTAGTCTTGTGTCGAAACCGTGAACATGTCAACAAATAGCATGTACTCGGCAGATATGCTTGCTCTATACTATGTACGGTATCATTTACAATGTATTCTATTCTTATGCAGTGTCTTGTACTCGCCCTGTTTAGGAAGAGATTTCCAAATTATCAGACCACAATCATTTGATTGAGTCAGATCTAGAAAGCACCTCAAATTTGGGTAAGCGCAAAGCGCAGAAATGGGACCTTCCAAAGATTTGACCAAACATATACTGATAGTGTGGTGATGTCAAGCAAGTAACTTTATACGGTAGTTTCTTCGCGTCGTATTAGGCCCCGGGCAGACTTCACGCGATTTGATCGTCGCGACTGAATCGCTACGAGACAACTACAACATCATTCCGTGCCGATCAACTTGCATTCGGTTGTGATACTTTTCCAGCCCGAAATTTTTGAATGTGAAATGAAAATGAATGGAAATCTTGGCGATTAGATCGCGACGATTGACTCGCGTGAAGTCTGTCCGGGGCCTTGGGAACAAGAAAAGCGTCGTATTAGGAACAAGAAAAAACCCCCTTCTGGAGGTTGCTCGGTATTGCACCCCGCTCTTTCGAGGGGATTCCAAAAATTTGTAAATACTCATATAATGCACCTCTGCACGGAAATCTTTAGTAAAAGGCGAAAGATTTTCTCGGTTAAATGCAGAGGAGCCAGAGATGCGATCACCGTGTCACTCACTGGCGGGCCTGCAGGTGCGTCGTATTGCTCGCTGCTCACGGAATCGCGCTCAGCATTACGAAAAGCACATTCCCATGTGCCATGGGTACGCGGCGTTGTAAATAACCTGTTTTTTCGTAGTAGATCAACAATCAATATTAGTGAATCTGTTTATTTTCTTGGATTTTGGATAATACTTCTGAACATCAGTTTCCCGGTAAGGGATCGTTCATACCGCGCACAAAGGCGGACGAAGCCGGACGAAGGCGGACGAAGCCGGACAAAGGCGGACGAAGCCGGACAAAGGCGGACGAAGCCGGACAAAGGCGGACGAAGGCGCGTGTGAGTGTGTGTGCGTGTCGAGAGAAACGAGACGAGGCGAGACCGCGCATTCGTCCGCCTTCGTCCGCCTTTGTCCGGCTTCGTCCGGCTTCGTCCGCCTTTGTCCGGCTTCGTCCGCCTTCGTCCGCCTTTGTGCGCGGTAAGAACGATCCCTAATTATATCCGTTGCTAATTCCTTTCTTCGCTGCCCGAGTTTCGTCGGAGGCGCAGTCGAGAAGTGTATAAAGTAAGGTTGATAAACTCTCACCCCTGCGACAAGATTCTTTTTTTTTGAAGTTAATACAGCGGTAATATACCAGATTTTTTTAGTCTGTAATTACAGAAACTACAAAAATTTGGCGTTCAAGGTAGAGAATGAACATTAGCGAGTTCTTCCTGCTCTCAGTGCCTCAATAATGTGTGTAAAATACAATATGTATGATTTTGGTGCTTTCAAGATTTTTTAAGGATATCTAAGTTATCAGCTGAATAAGCTTTCTGAGATTGTCTGCTGTTATCATTTTTTCCGTTAATCATTGTCGTCGCATAAATTGCCATGATTGCTTCATTTCATTCCCATATTGCAGCTCATTATGTCTGACGAAGAGGAGGGCGATTACTCGCACCTGCAAACGGAGCAGAACCGAAGGCATAAGAAAGCAGGAGGATGGCAGGTTATGGGTCAGTGTTTATTGCTTTGGCCTGTTCTTTTTTTCGAACCATGTGAAACCTCCATCTTCAGGACTTGATCATACTGTTTTCAAAGGTGTAGAGAGGAAAGGCTACAAACAGCCCACTCCTATACAGGTGGGATTTTTGGATTGAAAACTATAGATTATGGATTCCAAAATACGAGTTCAGTTTGCTTTAGAGGAAAACCATTCCTTGTATTCTTGATGGCAAAGATGTCGTGGCAATGTCGCGAACAGGTGAGATAACTTTTTGCTACTTATTTACCTACCGTCAGAATTCCTATCTGTTTATTTTCTTTGGGTCTTGAAGTGCCTAGAATTACACACTCTTATTTAGGAAGTGGCAAAACAGCTGCTTTCGTCATCCCAATGCTGCAGCGGCTGAAGCGTCGAGACACCAAAGGGATTCGTGCTCTTTTGGTGTCACCTACGAGAGAACTGGCTCTACAGACATTCAGAGTGGTGAAGGAGGTAGATAAGACTCTCAGCGCTACTGTATTAGAAACTTAAGCAACACTCATTTGTGCATCATTGTTATGGAGTAACATAATGATTTTTCTGCTCCTATATCTCCTATATCTATCTTCTACTCCTATCTATATCTATCTACTTCATATATGTTTTTAAGCTTGGACGCTTCACCGGACTGCGATGCGCTATCCTAGTTGGAGGAGATGCTATAGAGGACCAATTTTCGACTATACATGAGAATCCTGATATGTGAGCATAATCCCTTTTTTTTCATGTGGAATTTTTCTTCGGTATTTGTGTAACTGCAGTTTATTTCTGATCTTTTGAATTGATGATCGTACGACATTTTTGGATATTTCCTCGATTTAAGACTGATTGCCACCCCTGGTCGGCTACTGCATGTTATCGTAGAAATGGACTTACGATTGAGCTTTGTGCAGTATGTAGTATTCGATGAGGCTGATCGCCTTTTCGAGATGGGTTTTCAAGACCAATTAACCGTAAGTTCAATTTCATTTGTTTCTTGCTTAGACGTAGTTTTTTCGTTTAGGAAACGCTAAAGCGAATTCCGGAGAGTCGACAGACTCTGTTGTTTTCTGCAACTCTTCCTAAAATGCTAGTCGATTTTGCTAAAGCTGGCCTGTCAGACCCGATGTTGGGTTAGTCTTTTCAACATTGTTTAATATCTCGGCTGTAACTGCTCAGTTGATCGGTATAATGTAGGATGTTGAAAACCATAGTCTGATTGATTGTGGTTTCATATACATCACTCAAATACTATTCTTTAGTCCGCCTTGATGTAGACGAAAAGATCTCAGAACGTTTATCGATGGTTTTTGTGACATGTAGGGCTGACGAAAAACTTGCTGTTTTGCTCCATCTATGTCGGAGGATGAATGCTGAAGGCAAGCAAACTGTAGTATTTTGCGCCACTATGAAACATGTGGAGTGAGTTTTCTCATTCATTTGCTATAGAGTTCAAGTTTATATGATTACTTTTTTCTTTGTTTTTGTCAAATCAATGCAGTTTCTTTTTGAAACTTTTCTTAAGTTCTAAGCGAAGTTCCTCATTTTTGTACGATAATCTTCCTAGGTATGTTGTGGGTATCATGAATCGTGCTGGGATCGACAATTCTTTCATTTATAGTCAGCTTGATGCAACCGCTAGGAAACAGAATATACAGAAGTCAGTCAATGCTATACAACTTCTCATGCTCAACGTTTCGATTTAGATTCTCGGAACGAAAAAATAACATTCTCATTGTCACTGATGTAGCTGCCCGTGGTGTGGATATCCCTCTACTAGACACTGTACGTGCAAGCTTTTTCTGGATTTTTTTATCCCTTTCTGCGTATCTGGTGGAGGCTTTAGAGACGTTTTCTAGGTTATCAATCTCCATTTTCCACCAAAAGCAAAATTGTTTGTTCACCGCGTTGGGCGAGTAGCCCGTGCCGGACGGAGCGGTACAGCGATATCGTTGATCTCTTCTGATGAGATGCCTTATCTAGCCGATTTGTTCCTATTTTTGGGTAAACCAATGAAGTTTGCTAATGACGATGACAAGTATGATGGTGAGAGTAGTGATATGTACTTTTGTGCGTAGTCATGAATGAATTTCAGAAGAAATCACTCTCATTGGCAGAGTTCCAGAAGATGTTGTCAGCCTGGAGTCCGAATTTTTCAATTCTATCCATGATAACAATGAAGAAATGGTAGGGGTTTTTTATCTAGTCGATTTAAACTTATTTGAGTGTTTCAGAATGAACTCAGGCAAAAGGCTACAAATGCTATGATGAGGTATATCCGTACGCGCCCACCCCCTTCAGCTGAGTCTGCTAGGAGGGTCAAGGACGAATTGAGGTACTACCATCCCAATTTCATCTGATTATCATGTCATGGTGATTTACTTAGAATAAAAACGTCCGAAGCTGCTGCTCATCCATTTTTGCGATTGTCGGGAGACAAACAGCGATACAGCATCTTGAATCAACTCGCAAACTACAAAACTTCTGCAGTGAGTCCAAACAAAATTAGTCATGATAACTTGGAAATCCTACTTTTTTGATGCATAACATAACCATTTTCATATGTTGATGTTTTTGTAGACGATTTTCGAACTCAATGTGGGGAGCAAGGCGCACTCGGCAGCTGTAATGAAAGAAAAGCGACGTCAGCATGAAGAACACATACGTCAAATACAGGAACTGAAGGCGAAGAAGAAAGAGGAACTTCTTGGTGGTCAGGAAAATGTTTCCGAGACTCCAACCGAACAAGCAGACGAGTCTGCTATTGTAGGTGCTACATGAATATTGGTAATTATCTAAAACTCTGGTTTTACAGTCGGAAGCTTTTACTGAGGTTGTTGGCCGAGGTCTGTCCGAAGAAGCTGGCAAATCGAAAGCAACGAACAAAATTGACAGAGCTGAACAGAGAAGACGCGAGAAGGTAGTCATAAGGAGATTTAAGCTTTTGTCGTTTTTTGATGATTTGTTTACTAGGCGCGAAACTTCGTCGCTTATACATCAGCAGACTACGAGTCCGAAAAGCAATTAGCCCTCGATAAAGTGGATTTTGCCAGACAAGCTGATGGAGCTACGGTCGAGATATTTGCTGATGATGATAAAGGGATGTATAAGCAGAAGCATGCGAAACGATGGTGAGCTTTCGGCTTTTTTTTCTAGAAATCTTGTTTGTGTTCATGTTCTTATACTCCCATGATTCTGTCATGCTTCACTTTATTTGGGGGGGGGGGGGGGGAAACGTCGTTCGTTTCGTTGTTTGTTTGTCTTCATGAAATGCTTTTAGGGACCGCAAAAAGAAAAGGTATGTAGGGGCATCAGGTGATGGACCTGATAATAAGAAAATACGCACGGAAGATGGCACGTGGTTACCTGCATCATATAAGACAGGCCGTTATGAAGATTGGAAGAAGAAGCAAAAGCTTGGTTACAAGAAGGTATTTCAAAGAAAGTTTTGTATGTAATCCGCACTTTTTTGCAAGCTTTCCTTTGTAGAATGACGCAGATGGTGATGAGCAAGAAGCAAGCCCATCAAATGAAAGCAAATTTGGGCGGTACAATAAATGGAAAAATGTTAATAAGAAGCAGCAGTCAAAGGTTCATCATTATTGTCTTCGCTCTGTATTTTGTTTCATCTGTTGTTTCATCTCTTCGTCCTGTTTTCTACCGATGACGGTAGCTATACTTTCGCTTTTTTTTATATCTGACTGGAATGTTCTGCATTCCTTCGATTGCAAAGAATCAGATTATTCATTGTGCTTAGTTAGTTCGAAGACGTGCAATCTTACAGCCATTTGCGCTAACTGCGGATCCACTTTTGTGCCGCTGCCATTAATATAGCGTGTAGGCAACCTTATCGATGCTTCGTTTGCAGGGTCCGAAATCTGAACTCAGAAACGTTAGCCAAATCAAGAAAATCCGGAAGAAGTCTGCTAAATTGCAACAGTATATGGAACACCGAAGGCTGGAGAACCTTAAGAAGAAAGCCGCGCACGCAGGTGGAGGAAAAGGAGGAGCAGGAAAAAGACGGAAATAGTGTTAAGCAGAATAAGGCATGCATGGTTGCTGTGATTTTGATACGTAGTTTTGTTCTTTCTGTAAGATAACTTAAATCATTGTTGTTTTCTCTTCTGTATGTTACTTGTTACTCTTTGTTATAGTTGTTGATTTGCTTGTTATGAACATCAAATCGGACGTTTATTCATTCAAATTACAGTACATAATCTAATATTTTTGCGACTATTTGAGGATATTATTGATTTGAGTACTACAGTTGCACCGTTCTTTTGCAGCTAAGCAATCTTCAAACTACCATTCGTCAAGTGGTAAAGCGATTGAAGTACTTGGCACAATGCCAATAGTTCTTAATGATACCCTAATTTCACGCGTATAGGGCGCGGGGGATTTTTTTCCAAAATCGACCAGCCCAGACAAGCCAAAGGACTTTACAGCCAAAGGACCCTATAACGTGCTGTATATTGCTTGAGAGAGCTACTCGAAGTTCTGCGAAGAAATGGAGTGTAGCGTGAGATAAGTACACGTACAAAGAAGCATTCCCTCTGTAAGCTGTCACTCTTGCACCCCGCTCTTTCGAGGGGATTCCAAAAATTTGTAAATACTCATATAATGCACCTCTGCACGGAAATCTTTAGTAAAAGGCGAAAGATTTTCTCGGTTAAATGCAGAGGAACCAGAGACACGACGATCGCGTGGCTCGTGGGCGGGCGCTCGGCTGCGTCGTATCTTTCGCTGTTCAGCCAATCGCGCTCAACATTGCGAAAAGCATGCTCTTGTTTGTCACGGGCGCAAGGCAGTGTGAATGTTTTTCTACTGTGACAACAATCAATGTTAATGAGTTTGAGTGCGTTAAGGGTTATAGTTACGTATACTACTGGAAGTTATAAATTTTAAATTCAGCTTCGATGTGTAAAATTTCTTTGCCTCGTAAAGTTTTGTTAATAATTCAAGGCAAATGTTAATTCCTAAACCTTTCGATAGGGGAATCGTTTTTCGAAATTCTAAATTGAGTTGGCAAGGTTCTCCTTTCTCTAGTCTGTAATTGCACAAAATAGCAACAACTTGTGTAATTCTCCACACCGTTCCAATAACAAGGCTAAATCGGTTCGATGAGCAAATTTTCAACGGTTAAAATGTCAAAATGTGTATAAAGGAAACTATTGGTGCTTAGGAGGAAAGTAGGAAGCACTATGGTTCAAGCAGGACTGATTGTAGATTACCCTAATACCGTAGTACTCCCTAATGCGCATTAGATTTCGATTAGTCGAAATTCTCTCTCTTCACTTTTGTCGACTCTCTGTAGAACCGAAGTGCCAGTAGCTGGTTTAGTTCTATGGAGATAACCTCAGCTGGGTAACCGTTTCTAATTACGTGATGAGCAGGTGGTTGGCTAGCGCGCTCCATTTACGAATTTTTGAAAGGAGCGCGGGAAAATGGCTTGCTGCGCGCGAAAATGTGCAAAATAACACAGTCAACGCTTCTGCTGTCGTCTAGATTCGTTGTGTTGTGGAACATTGTGTTGGCATCTTTCTTTGTTTTCTTCCGTTTTCGTGATAGTATCGGTGTTTTTTGTGTCTTCAGCAGAGAAAGATCTACTTTTTTCATTTTGGTCTTGTCATTATTCCACTCTTCCTCCATTAAATTACCCCGCTTTGCTACGTTATGGTTTAAGAACCACTTTCCAGGAAGTAAGTCGTCATGTTCGAGGCCAAACTTGCTAATGCTGCCCTTCTCAAGAAGATTATCGAATCAATAAAGGTAAAATGTTTTTCCATGGCTTCTTCTCAATATGGTCGCTTCTTATTTGGGACAGTTGGTCTGGTTTCAAGTTGAGACAATGAGAAAAAACCTTCTGGAAGTATCATGTCTCAGGCCTCCCGATTAGTGTCTGAAAGTGAGATTAGCTTTACAATTACTTACTTTTCGTAAACATATAAAGTAATGATAGATTAGCACACATCCAAGTAAAGTTTAGTAGCGACACCTTGAGCCACCTTAAAGCTTTGTATCTTGTCTTGGAAAAGTTTTGAAGGATATGAGGACTTTGAATTCCTCATTCTCAAGTAATTTTTATCGAATGAAAGTGCCAATAATCTATCCTATCTTTCTAAAAATGTCTATATCTATTTTATCCTTCTAAAAATGACTCCTTGAATGCATGGCTTCATGAATTGACGGAGTAATTTGTGCACATTCAAGGATCTGGTGACGGATGCTCCATTCGACTGTTCCGAATCAGCCATGTGTCTACAAGCTATGGACTCTTCTCACGTAGCGCTTGTTTCATTGAAACTTGAGGTAATTTTTGGTTACTACTAGATATTATGAAGGTTTAATGCGTGGCAAATCTTGCATATAAAGGGTCAAATTCATTCTTTAGTGCACGCACATGTTATCAGACTTCATATTGAGGGAAAAGTACAATCATTATGAACGGGGACGTCACAGTCCAAACAAAAACGCGGTGTTTGCCAGTTCGATGCACAATTGGTACTCATTTAGGTGGGATTATTCGATACATACCGATGTGACCGGACGATAAACTTGGGTATGTCGTTGGCCAATATGTCGAAAGCATTAAAATGTGCAAATAATGACGATACCTGCATGATAAAGTACGAAGAAGGTGACAGCGATAGCATTACATTCACATTTGCTGACACGAAGCGAGACAAGACTCAGGTGAGTGTCCTGTTTCTCAAACTCGCTTATTAGAATCTTATTTCACCTTGTTTGGAAGTTCTTAACACAGTAAAACTGATTTTTTGCTTACCTTTTGCTGAAGTATCAGATCTGAAGTATCGGGGTAATCAAATCAAGAATTTGCAGGATGTAACCGTAAAGATGATGGATATCGATAGCGAACACCTTGGTATCCCAGAACAGGATTACGCTGTCGTATGCGAAATGCCGTCTTCCGAGTTCCAGAAAACTTGCAAAGATATCGCTATGTTCAGTGACTCGCTTAACATTACGGCTACCAAGGTAGGAGACCCTTGACAAATTCTGCTCGCTTAAGTTTTTTTTTCATCTTAGGCTGGTATTGTCTTCACTGGAAAAGGAGACACTGGTCAATCCGTTATCACCTATTCACCCAACAGCAGTGCTGATAGCGAAGATGAGGTGCGTAAAGCTGAAACAGTCCTGTATCTCATCGAAACCAAGAGTATATTTAGGCTATAACTTTGGAAGTGACCGATCCAGTGAACGTAAACTTCTCAATAAAATACATGAACCAGTTCACAAAAGCCACAAACCTCTCGAGTCGCGTTCGCATCTCACTATGCAACGACGTGCCAATTGTGATCGAATACCCACTAACAGAGGATGGCAGACCAAGTGGTCAACAGCATGGACATCTGCGATTTTACCTAGCCCCCAAGATCGACGACGAAGAGAACATGGACTAATCTGCATCTTTCCAAACTCACTTTGTATTGTAACTCACAACTTTGTAATGTCTAAGATTGTCAGTTTTCACAATTTACACAGTGTTTGCATACGCTTTACTTTGAATTTTGTTTATCGGTGTTCATATAAACTGATCTCTATGATAGATGTTGTGAAGCACTGTAGTTCATGGGATGATAACGAGCCAAACGGAATGTTATCAGTCAAATGATTAAAGGAAAGTTCGGAACGCGCAGGAACTTGCATCTTCACTGAGCTTTGCAGCGGCGCTGGAAAAATGGTGGCAACATTTGTCGCACACAGGTTGGTATCCAACAACAAGTATCTTCCGCTTCCGTAAGCTGAAAATTCCTCTAGAAAAGTTGTCAGTTTTATGCTGTAACCTCGTTCTCAACGGCGCCATCTATTCCTACCGGGCTGGCTGCGCGGGCGGTTCGCGCGCGGCAGCCGTCAGTAGCGTTGGGGCGCGCATTGGATGGATATGGCATTTTCATGTACCGCTTTTCATCAGCTCAAATGTGCAAACGAAGATTTTCGCTCTCGCAGGATAACGAAGGCTACTATGTGCAAGGCAATACATCAATGAAAACATTGACTTATATTTCAGTGACGCTACGCTGATTTTCTAATACCTTATTATTAGCTGGCAGTCGAGAATACTCTACAATTCCTGAGTGCGCCTATTCGGTTATTTGGAACTTATTGCTTTTCTGCGTATGAAAAGGGAGAAGGTTTTGAGTGTGTTCGCGGCTTCTTCCTGAATAGCGAATCTAACTCTTTCCATGATCCTCACATGTAAGTCAACATCAGTTGTGTGTCAGTGATCCATATACTATGTATGCAGTATACATCAAGACTCAACTCTTAAAGGCAGGGTCCACCCAGAATTTGGCCTCCTATGTTTTCGTCATTCTGGGGCCTTTCCGTGGTCCTGATTACAGTTCCGAACTTCAAACTTTCTAAAATTCACAAAAAACCCGATCCTTGGGGACCCAATCTTGAGGGTGCGGACGAGTTTCGAATTGCTCGTCCCCATCGGCAGGCCAGCGGGAAGGAACTGCAACTGCATGGGTGCAATTGCATTACAGTGTGCCGTGTGCAGCTTCTGCTCACTACCTTGTCAATACGTGTCGGAGGCACGTATTGACAAGGTAGTGAGCAGTCCCTGGTGGGCGGAGTCTGATATCAGACTCCGCCCAGCCAGGGACTTTCGGGCCCCTTATCTCCATTCAGAGACAACGTTAGAAGACCGGATCAACGCAGATGCCCCTTTTCTGGGGCCTACATTCAGGATCGACACTAATCGGAGGGGGTTAGGTTTAGCCTGGACACTGCCTTTAAAGGCAGCGTACACCCAAAACAAATGCAACACATGTTGCAACAGCAACTGCAACTGCAATTGCAGCTTATGCTGTTATGGATTCGTCCGGAGGAGGCGGAGCGAAAGAAAAGGGGCGGCATGAAAGAAAATTGAGGGGGGTTTTCTCCGCTCAGAAGCAACATTGGGAGACCGGACCAACGCAGTTGGTCTTCTTCTGGGCCCAGTATATACACGGTAGAAAGATCTTGGAAATTCGGTAACTCAAATTTTGGGTATACGCTGCCTTTAAGCTGAGATAATCGCATTATGCCGGATAGATAAATAGGGGAGTCAGAAGGTACTGCGTCGCCTACATTCGACATCGACCTTTTGGTCAAATTTCATTAAATTTTCCAGCATTAGCGACTCAGCAACCTTAGCCTCGAGTAGCTTGTTAGCTGAATCCGCTGTTTTTTTTGTTTTGAGGTCATATAGCTGTGTTCGCAAATAATCGGAAAACGGCTAATGCTAACCAATAACAGTCATAATTGCTAGAGAATACAACTCAGCCGACACTTTAGATGAACTGACATTGCAACAAATGTCCTGCACCACACGAATTCTACCGATTGTGTGTTCTTCGCACTAAGAATTTCCTAATGTTGCATTCATGATCGATCATTAAAGTCATGTCAGAAGCGTTCGTAAAAGCGCAAAGTACTGCTTGAAGAACAATCAACTTCAAGAATCCTATCTCTGCTTGATTGGTATCACTTACGAAACAAGTATACCAACTAGCGATAGATTCGAAAACTGCTTCAACTGACTACATTCGGTGATTTGCAAACCTTACGCACTTTTCAAATCTCAACGAACAAGTAACATCAGAAATTCACTAGAAATTAACACTGTAGAACATAAGCGAACAATCTCATTACTTTGATATGACAACTTGGCACATAATCGTAATAGTTTGACCCGACTCGAAAGTGAGCTTACTTCCATTACTCTGGTAAGGAATCTCTTGTGGTCAAGAGACCTAATAGTAAGACACATACAAGCATAAGTGTGGATTAAAGTCAGTGAGTGAATTAAGTATTTAGTCAGTAACCTCTAAGCAACGAAGCAAGGAAATCTTCCAAAAATGATGTACAGGGATAGTTTTGGGTGAACATATGACGATAAGCAATAATGTTAGACTTAACATTATTGCTTGCCTGCCAACCTTTATCAGTACCGTCCTTTCTAGCTGGCTTCTCAGTAATACAGCGAAAATCCTCTTCAGCATGCTTGGGTCGAGAGAGTAATCTAAACTAACGTCGCAATCATGGGAAGGATTGCGCGCCCCACGTATATGGGTGCCGCGCGCGAACCGCCCGCGCAGCCAGCCCGGTAGGAATAGATGGCGCCCGTTCTCAACTGATCAGCGATCATAAGATGCCAAGCAACTAAAAACTTCAACAACTGTAATATCTCATTTTCTGCCATTTTCTGGCACATACATAAATGGTCGCCTATAAAGAAGTTCTCTACACGAGAATTTGACGTTTGCTTGCTGCTGCGGCGTCCAGAAAACTTGAGTGCCTCTTCAGAAAAGTGTTGCACGGTTACTACAGTGTATACGTACGTTATGGAGGGGTGTATAAGACCGCAGTGCAGCCCATTTGTTGCGTTTCGCTCTTTTTAGAAACACTAATGTTGAATGGTCTTGAAATGGAGCGCCAAAGGCATGAGATGCATAAGAAGTAGTTAATATTTATGATAAGCTGAGACACAGATCACAGACACCTGTACTTCCTGCAATTTAGGTGGATAATAATTCGGAGGCATTGACACTGTGCAAGCAGTAGGGTTATGGACATCTAGACAATTTGTGCGGCTCGCGCGCTCATGACCGACTGGGCGAAAACCCATGCCGACTAAACTTTGACTACCGTACCAGAATGTTGATTACGGTACTGGACGAGACTCCGTCTAAAATTTCTGTGCAAGAATGAGTTGTAAGCTGCTGCTTTTGTAGCGGTCAATTAAGGCCTTCTAATTCCTAACATACGAAACAAAACTAGTTATTCACAATCGTTTGAACAACGCTGTCAGAACCCAAGCACTCTGTATAAGGATGAGCAGTGCTTGTGTACAGAATGTATCAAATGGTTGAAGCAATACAGATTCTTTTTTTCTCGTAAATGTGGAAGATCTGATAATATAGGGGATCAGCGCAAAACTTGAAACGTTGTAGAAACCGGACACGGTGGCCAAATTCATATCAAACTCATGTTATTGTCCATTTTTACTTGAATAGCAATTGCTTTGAGTCGCATAGATAATGTAATCCTTTCATGGTTGTGGCTACTCCTAAAAAGTAGGAGGGGGACTGGAAGCCGTAGGTGGTATAATAGGGTTGACGCAGATTGATGGTTGCGTTGGCTGTTGATTGAGAGTGACTTGACTTCATAAATTTCCGAAATAGTCAGAATATAGATATCTACCTCGCCGTAGAAACCTTATCTAAAAAGCTTGGTGGCTACTTTTCGATAATAAACCTATTTTTGTTTCGTTGTACAGATCAGCGATTACTTTTCGTTGTCTTGTGGAGTGCGTCGGCGAAGCCTATTCAATAAACCTCCTCCCATTGTTTTGCATGCAATCACTGGCCATTCAAAACGTTTCGGTGGTTTTTCCTGCAATCGTCGTTCGTTGTGCCGCAGCCGAAAGATGCTGCATCTTGAAGTGTTCGCAAAAATTTATTGGTTTAGGCACAGGTCTGCTTCAAACTCCAAAGCGAAGCTTCCTTTCGTTGTTTCTTGCTCACGTTTTCGGACTCCTAAAAAAGTGTCTTTGTTCAGGTAGAATTAATTCGTCATTTTGTAATTTTTAAATTTTATCACATTTTTGTTTGGTTTTTGATTTTATTTGTCTTTGAAACCGTGATTAATACTAAGAGATTCGACATTGCACTGCACACATTGTCTAAACCAGCTTCAACTTGTTCTCTCCTGTTTTCAGCAGCTAATTATCCTAGATCAGTTAGTTTACAAGTATAAACTTGTGAAACTTAACATTCACACGATCAAGCTTGTTTTGACAATTTGTGCAAAGCGGTTTCGAGTCTTTAGTCTCACATTTTTTTTGGTGGGAGTTTTCAGTAAATTTGGTGCTATTCTATTTCAACAAAAAGTTGCAGAATTTTGATTTTTCATATCCTGCAAACGAGAATTCGTGACGTGCTGATCACAGTTGTCGTATCCATTTCTTACAATAGCATTTCATAGTTTAGTTACGGTATATATATGCCATAGGTTTTTCCGTAACCCCACTATGGCTTCATTTAAGAGTGAGCGCACTTCATCTACGTAATCAACGTGTTCAATAAACCCTCTATGCAAAACTACAACGAATTCTGAGATTTTGGCTTCATACCGTAAACCTACCGTATCTCACAATATGACTCAACCACGCCACATAGTCATTTAAGCAGATAAAAATCTCACGTACGAAGTTTAGCGAGATCAAAAATTTGCCTTTGTAGTCCGTGTTTGATGGAATTATTCCATCATTTACTAAAATGAGACCTCAAATCTTTCAAATTTCAAGCTTTATTTGAAGAAATTTCAACATCTGTGGTGTGCCATAGAGGCTTTCTTCTTTCTCAATCGATTTGGATGCACAGTTTTTGGTTTCTGGATCTTTCCTCGCTTTTTTTTTCAGAATTGCTAACTTAGCTAACATTGTTAGATTTACTTGTGAGTGCAGACGGAAGAGAACGCCCCTTCCTTCACCTCGTTTGGCGACTTTCTAGTTGAATGCCATATGTTCTTGCTACTTCGAATTATTCCATAGAATTAATACGTACCACTAATTAGGCTATCGATCTTCCACCATCTCGACTGCAAGTTATAGTTTATAAAAGAAATTTCTCGAATTAACAGCACTAAATGCTGAAATACTGCTACTCAATGAAAGAACATATCTCGATTTTTTTCCAGAAAGTAAATAGATTACAGGAAGTGAGGTGCATTTGAGTTAGGCTAGAGCTGGGCCAAAAATAAAAATGGCACCTTTTTTTCCGAAGAAAAAAGGTCTGATCTTGCGTGATGCCACGGCGCGGCAGTTTTGTGCTTGAACTAGAGGGATAAACTCAAGTTGAGCAAAATTTTTTAGACTGAAGTGCAAGAAAAGTGCAACCCAGCTTCGAATTATCATAGTGTCTTTTGGTGACAACACTTGCGCGGAAGATGCCGTGCGCACAACACTTGTGCTCAAATGGGGGGGGGGGGGCGGGCGTTAGGTACCCAGCCGAGGTGCGTGCGTTAGGTACCCAGCCATTAGCGGTAAACACTAAGCCACGCCCCTTGGTTGCTTCAACAGTGGGTACCTAACGATACACCAAATCCTAGCTGCTAGAACAGCTCACATAGCTCGCTAAAGCGCTGGCGCTCGCGACCCACAGAAAAATGATAGTTCGAGAAAATCAAAAAAATTGCGCGAGTGAAAGCGCAAGTTTACAACGCTTTTTCCGTTGCTTTTTTTTCAATCCATTTTAGAATCACAGAAGCTCGGTGCTGAAAGTTGGAGCAGGGTAAACTTTTTATGAGCACTTCACAAAGTCTTGCAAAAAAATCGTGATGATCTGAGCCGAAAATCTTAGCGTGAAATTCATAAAAGTAAACTTTGTAGAATACCAATAAATCAATTTTATGATTTTACTGAAGCAAAGCGCACTTTTGGATGCGCTCCTGGCAAATAAGTTGCACGGAGTATTCCTTTGTTTCAAAAAAAAGCATTTTTGACAATGAGGAGTGGAACCGATTGCAAAGAGAGCAATTTTACATTACAGTTACAGAGCTAGCCAATTTCGGATGAGTGTGTGCTATAGAATGAAACAGGAAAAAGCAGCAACTCTACTGAGAACAATTATTGACAAAATCTTTCGCTTTTTAGTGAGTACAAAAAATTTATCGCTTTGGTTGGATAAACGGCATTTGACTGCTAGAAAAGAGAATGAATATGAAACAACTGCAATATGAAAGTCCTCCAAGAAGCACTGCAGAGAGCATAGGTATGATAAAATATAGTAGCTCAATGGAATTTTCATACGAGATGTGAAATCTTCCGAAGTAAAGAAAAATGTATGCTTATCAATGTAAAATCCCATAAATCTGTTGGCCTCAACTATGACCAAAGTAATAGCCTTAATAATTTACAATAACGTAGCACAATCCCTGTAGCAATATCATCGCAAGTACACTACGACCCTTGACTTTACGCCTCAAAACGAGCCTGACGACAATATGTGAAGGGAATATTTCGTGCAACTTATTTGCCAAAAGCGCATCCGAAAGTGCGCTTTGCTTCATTAAAATTATAGAATTTTGACTTATTGCTATCCTACAAAGTTAACTTTTATGAAATTCCCGCTAACATTATAGGTTCAGATCATCACGATTTTTTTTTGTAAAATCATGTGAAGTGCTTATTAAAAGTTTACCCTGTTTTTGATTTTCAGCACCGACCTTCTGTGGTTCTGAAATGGATTCAAAAAAGGAGCAATAGAAAAAGCGTTATAAAATTGTGCGTTCATTCGCGCAATTTTTTTTTGATTTTCTCGAACTGTCATTTTCTGTGAGTCGTGAGCGCCAGCGCTTTAGCGAGCTAGGTGAGCTATTCTAGCAGCTAAGATTTGGTGTATCGTTAGGTACCCACTGTTAAAGCAACCGAGGGGCGTGGCTTAGTGTGTACCACTTATGGCTGGGTACCTAACGCCACGCACCCCTCAAATGGCAGTACAACGCGCATTTTCAGCGTTTGTTATCCTATATTCATTATCTACGCGCAAGTGTTGTCACCACCGCAGTGGCATAGTATTTGACTAAGCTTTGAAACTTGTTCGCTTGAAGGCATGTACTCGTTTTACCTGCGAGTGAAGCGCGCAAAATCATTACCATTGCGCCTACGTTTTCTTTCAAGCCTTTTACCTATTCGGACGGCTACGCCCACGCTAATCGCATTGTTCGTGCTCATTCATAGTGTAGGCAGCGACTGAATGCTCGGCGCAAGTGTGCTTCACAAAGGAAAGCCGTCCTTTCTCTAAATATGCTTACGGCTGTCACCTGTTGATGAGTGTTTTTCGGTGTCGCGCCAGCAGCAATAGCGAGCTCAGGAAATGCGCCAAATCAACTTAACTGGGCAGACGTCGCCCGGATGAGGACGGCCATCTATTCACTTGGTGGCGCTTCCGACTGTGATAGATGTCCGGTGGCCATTTCTCACAGCGGATACGGGCGGATGTACTTGATTAGGTTCTTAGGGGTTATTATAGTAATCATTCTTGAATTTGGTGCATTTTTGAAGTCCAGGCATCTACCAATGCTGACAGCATATAATTTCTCAGGACCCGCTGTCCCTAAAAAAAGAAGAGCTATAGGGTGGCCCCTCCCCTTAGTGGTCATTCTACCCTTCAGCCTAAGAACCGAATTTGAGTCTCAAGTTGCCGCTCGCAGGCTGGAATTTTTTTGGAATTTGAGAATTATAATGCTTTTTTCAGTTTTGCGCCTTTTGGTTGGGCGCCTAAATTCTTAAAATTCATTATTTTATTTGCGCTTCTTTGCTTTTTTTCTTTGCACAATCAATCGGAAATCCTTTTAGGTCCTATGTGTTAGATTTGATTCAGAGCTTCTTTTGCGCAATATTCTTTCTCACATTTGTACACAACGAAGTAAAGAGCGTTGTATTTCAATCTATCACGTTGTAATCAGACACCGAACATTTTTGTTTTCTAAAAACCATTAGTTGAGACTAATCATACTGTTTGATACAGCGTCCTAAAATTTCTTTCATTCGGCTACAACTAAGCTGTTCTCTGGTTTTTATTCCCAAACTCTTGTGTTAAACTTCCATTTATTACAAAAGTATAGAGCCGAACACTAATTTTCTTTTTGATAATGCGATACATTCAGGTCGACATCACA